CCTTATAGCATGATTCAGTATTCACGTGCGACGGCGCGATGGCTTATTTCATGTATAAGTTTGGTGTTTCTATACCGATTTCTATGATTCTATTTTTCTTGAATAGGTAATAATGTTAACTTTTTTAAATTAGGGATGAGTGAGAGTATTATAAACGTAAGAGTAAACAAATATAATCAGAATGCTCCGAACAGCTAAGCTATCAGGAGTTACACGTGTTATTGTGAGTCAACCATAAAAGATAGACATATGCTGTTGCGGGATATTTTTTAGACAATTTTATATAGAATAATTCCGTCATACATGATTTCTATGTAACTTTAACCATTAAGGCTGCACACGCGACGGAAGCTTCAAAAATGGAGTAACTTCTCCCGTTTTCCCAACATTTCCTTTCATTTCCTTCACTACTCTGCTCCTATTGATTGTAGCGTGATGAAAAGTATACTATAACCTGCCCAGGAGTATGAAGAATAATTGTACCAAGTTTCGTTAAAATCCGTCGAGTAGTTTTTGTTTCTATAAGGAACAAACACACAGACAGACAGACAGACAGACAAAAATTTTACTGATTGCATTTTTGGCATCAGTATCGATCACTAATCACCCCCTGGTAGTTATTTTGAAAATATATTTCATGTACAGAATTGACCTCTCTACAGATTTATTATAAGTATAGATAGAAGAAGATAAATACGCATCAAGGTAAGTAAGGGCAGGAAATATTGAAAAATAACGCAGTCATTAATTATAGTTTATATTCTATTATTCTATAGAAAATCCAGAATTAACATTTTCAACGACATAGGAAATTACTGTGATTCGCCCACATACAGCCCACAGCTCTATCCAAAAGTTTTTATATCGATTTACCTTTTTATGATAATATTTTTTCTTTGTGAAAATTATATCGTTAGGTATTGGATTTTTCTAGGATATTGGTACTTTTAGAGTGCATTTATGTAGATACGTTGGATTTATTTAATATTTTCTCCATTATTCCAGATTGAGAACAGATAATATATACCTTGGCCTCAGCTTGTCTCTGTGATATGTTTTTTTTTAATGTTTATGCAGTCAAACGAACTAGCAGCTCACCTGATGGTAAGTGGTCACTTGCAGCACCAAGGCAAGGGAGCCACTCATGCGGTGACAGATCTGTACCCTTAGTACGAGTTTTACAATTACGAAAACTATGATGGTTTTCGTGAGCTTGCACTCGTTGATTTTATTGTTTCTGTTTTAATAGACATAAACAGTGTTTAAATTCTATCATTAAATCATTTGCGTCTTCTTAAATTTTAAGTATATTTGGTTACTTTTCACCAAAATGGACATAGAAACATAATTTACAATTACGAAAACAATGATAGTTTTCGTGAGCGCAAACTTAGACTAAGGGTCTTACTGTTACGCAAGAAAAAGGAACAAACTTATTGGTGCTAGAACGTTAAGAGTCCTTTCACTTTTTTTGCAAAAAATTGAAGTTTTTCCCCCTCGTTTACCCCCTTAGAAAATATATTGACTATTTCCAATAGAAGTAAATAGTAGATTTATTCTTCCTTTTGTAAGTTAATGTAGAATAGTTATTTGCAAATACTTTTTTCTTTTTTTTTGTACTGATCGTTCTACTGCAGCTAGTTTACGGAAAAAACGATAAAATGCACAACTTCAAACGCCTCAATAATGTTCAATAAATTAGATCAAATTAATTACTACGACATCGGAAATATGTTTTTGTTGTAACATAATGTATTAGAATTTTGATTTTCCATCTCATTAATTGTCAAAAAAAACATCTAACCACGGTGAGTTTTCCCAAAAAATAATGCAGGTTTACCTCGTATTTTGATATTATTATTAAATAGATTTACTATCAAAAACTTTCAAAAAACTAATCTTCCATCATTGAACTACTGAAATAGGTATAGGTTTTTGTAATTTGTTCATTAATAATTATTTTATAAGACTCGAAACATCACCCGTAAAATGCATTATATACTAGTGCAAATCTACCTACGCGCAGATCAGTACGGCAGCGGCGCAATTTTGTAAAAGGGCTCTTAAGCGTACAGATGGTAGGAATAAAACTTCACTCCGCAAAATGTTGAGTGGTGTGGATAGATTGGGACGATTACTTTTGGCAGGTTTCTTCGGCAATGTTCGACCAGAATAATAGGTGAGCAACAATGTAGACTTCTTTAACATTCCGAGAAGTATAATTATTCACTACATTAGACAGATATGTCCTTTTCGATGCCTATTTTTATAGGCAATATTTACAAGCATCGAGGTCATACGGGGAGGTGAAAAATAGCCTAAAATAACCCATCCATTGATCATTAATCAAACGCTAATCCAATTAGGCAACCTATTCAAATGGATTATCGATCTTCTAATTTAGGGACTACAATATTTTCTTTTATAAGCAAATCGGTTAAACCAAGGGAAAAGTAGCGTAAGCAAACAACTTGTTATTGAAAATGAAATACGAAATTCAAATATGGGCTCAAGTTTCGCTGTGGGGGCATAGGTAGTAAGATACCCAACATCCACGGTTTCGACAAAACTGTATGGTTGTGGATGGACAAGCATCAAGATAATGGTTTTATTACTATTAACGACCGCGAAAAGTAGCAACTGGGATTAATCTTAGATTACATCTAAATCCTTCTAAATGTAGTGTTGTCACATATAGTCCGAGGCGAAATATGGTATTGTTTGACTACACACTAAAACAATGCCAATTAAAACGTGAAATAGCTATGAGAGACCTTGGTGTATTTCATGATTCGAAGCTTCTCTTCCATACACATATTAATAAGGTGATACCGTAAAGCTCTCAGGCCCTAAGGTTTATTATGCGCAACTCCAAAGACTTTAGCCAGGAAAAGACACTCAAAATTTTATATTGTACCTTTGTTAGAAGTCATCTGGAGTATGCATCTCAGGTCTGGAACCTTTATATTTCACTTTTATATCTCGCATTGAAGGCATCCAGAGGAAATTTGTACGATATCTGTGCTTTCGTACAAAGGAACGTTATCATTCAGGGCGGTACGGGGAACTCTGCAAAAAGCATCATCTTCTACTTTTAGAGATGCGTCGCGAAATTGCGGATTTAGTTTTCCTCAGTAGGATCGCTTCTGGGCCTGTTGACTGCCCGGAACTCCTATCACAGATCTTGTTTGGAGTTCCTCCCAAACCCCTTAGGAAATATCCTATTTTAAGTAGGGGGATCCCCTACTTTTACAAATTATTGGCAGAACGCTTTTCTTTGTCGAGCGAGTAGCAGCTTCAACTCACTATCAAAGCAGGTAAATTTAGATCTTTTTAACACTAGCGAAGCGTCGATTAGACGTATCATTGCTTGTTTTTTGGAGATTAAAATTAATATAATAATAATAACAAACATTTATTGCAGACTTTAGACTCATAGACAAGTGTTAGTAATTAACATGTGCGTAATTTGTTATTATGTTATTTATCATAAGGACCTGATTTATAAAACTTTAATTAAGAGATGTTTTACATTGGAAAGTGCAAATAGTTTCTTTATAATTTTAAGTTATGATTGATTCTAGATGTGAGGACCTGTAAATGTCTCTTTGTCGCTACCATTCATTTCTAGTATATTAAGATAAGCTGTTGGTCTTCCATGTAACCAAAATAAATAAATAAATCTGAACAATCTCTGTGGTAAATGCGATAGATGTCAAAGAATCAAAATACCTAACAGGTACAAATCTGAAAGCTGTGAATAAAAACATTAGATTAAGTCAAACGAGCTAATAGCTGGAAGTGGTCGTTCGTGGCTTATAACCAATCAAGGGACATTAAATTACGCACAAAAAACAACTCGCAGCGGTCCAGGAGACCGGGTAATTGTCAACATCACTAAAATAACACCTGTCGTATTTACCTTCATACACGACAGGTAAAAATAAAATTACCGAAGCATTTTGCATTCTTATCAATGTATCCCAACATGTTAGGTAAAATACAGTATGGACGTGTGACTTCATGTTGTATAAGCATTTTGACATATATGCAGATATAGGTCAACCAAGTTACCAAAACCGATGTCGGGTCAAGTTGAACTAAGCTAGTATTTGTTTGATTGGTCGAAAGCATAATAAAATGGTGTTGACCGATCGGTTTAGGTCAACGAAGGCGTCGGTATGGTATGTATTGTGAGGTGAAGGTTGCATTGCTAGGTCAGATGTTTGTTCTGCCGTCCGTCACAATCGATAGGAGCTCCTTGGCAGATGGAGATGGGATGCCAGCACGGCGCGTGCCGCCATTCTGACGCTGACATGACGACTTACACACGGAATGCGATTGCCACAGATCAGGCAGGGTGCTTTACACAATATTCTTGTTCCCCATGCGTTATCTGATGAAGTATATTTACTAAGGTATCATCATCAACCTATTAATGTCCCCACTGCTGGGGCACAGGCCTTCCCTATGGATGGAATAGGGAGATTGGGCCATGACCCACCATGCGGGCCCAGTGCGGATTGGTGGGTGCTTACGACTGCAGATGCAGCCGGGACCAACGGCTTAACGTGCCTTTCGAAGCACGGAGGAGCTCGAGATAGTAATTTTTGGTCACAGAATGACCGACCACTGCGAAAGTTGCTTAACTTCAACGATCGCAGCCGAACGCGCTAACCACTTGCGGCATCGAGCTTCTTCCAGTATATTTACTAAGGTATAGCATAATAAATTGTATTCACATACTTAGATATATATTTTATAATTATCATAGTCTACTAAATTGTTAGGGAGAAGTTGAAGCTTTCCATATTTTAAAACTTAATCCTAAAATTAGGGGCATAATGATAGAAGAGACATTATATAAATCAATCTTCACACACATAAATCGGTCAAAGTCGTCCCCAGTTGTAAGGAACAATTTGTACGCCAGCAACCCCGAACCTTTAAATCGGTTCAAAAAGGCATAGGCGTCGAGGGAAGTAGGGCAGTCGGTGCGCATGCGTTGTGCTGACGCATGCGTGTGTGAGACGTCGATGGGCGCTGACCGCTGACCGCTGATGTGAAGCGGGCGCGATGAGCCCCACCAGCAGGCTCGCCAGCGCCCGCCCGCCGCGTCGGCCCGCCCGCCCAGGCCCTCGCCACTAGAACGACCGAACAACCCTCGCAGCCTCCAAGCGGCGCGACCTACGCCGCCCTGCCAGTGACGTGACCGTGTGCAGTTGAATCTTTAAAGTTATGACACCTCAGTGCTTACTTATGTAACTGGAAATACCAGTCGGAATCAATGGATTGTACACAGTGCGCTATAGTTGTGAGGAGACAAGTTCCGAAGCGATATACGTAGCGTTCGTATCGAACAGGTAAATATGGAGACCCGATGTAATGTATTATCTGATAAGCTACAAGAAACTGATAATCCTTTGATTGAAAAAGGGCGCGTTTTTTTCATTGGGATGTCTATACAGGTGCACTGTGTCGACGACGACTCGTCGGTTGATGCAACTTGACATTGACAGCGCTCTTACCACTTCGCAATAGGAGCTATGTCCGCAGTGCTAATGTAACCACTGTCCCATCCTCGACTTTACTTAACAATGTATGCCGATGTAGGTACAATTTTAACAGAAAAGTCAGTTTGTACAACAGGTTATCCATAAGATTTTACCTAAAAACCTGTTAGTGCAGTGATAATTCCAAACAATTTAATATCTTATAATATAATGAATCTTTGAATTCAGATCCTATTATATTTATAATATCATGTGAAAGTTTGTATGTTTGTTACTCAATTAAGCAATAACAACGCACGAATTTGGATGCACACATATAGTTTTATACATGGGATATTTTATATCTCGAAAAAAAGTTAGATTCCTGAGGGATTCTCAGAATACTAATTCAAACAGACGAAGTCATGGGCAGCGTTCATTTAATATTAAATTTATTTATTTTCACTTACTATGAAAGAAATGGGACAAAAATCTTCTGCCCAAACGATAATTTTGAATTCATTTCATTCATTCAATTCATTGACTACAGATGCAACCGGGACCAACGACTTAACGTGCCTTCCGAAGCACGGAGGAGCTCGAGATAGTAAATTTTTGGTCACCCATCCAATGACCGACCACTGCGAAAGTTGCTTTACTTCAACGATCGCAGCCGTTAGCGCGTTTGAGGTTCGGTAAGTTTTAACCTAAATGGTTTTGACTGCCCCTAGCTAAAAATATATGTTACATTAAGCAAAAAAGTTTACACAGTTTTTTAGCTGATTTATTATCCATCTTTTTCGTGTGTTTTTATAAATATAAATTATTATTGCTCAATACAACGTAGTAATATGTTTCCTTCGTACAGTTAAAACTTATAACAATTTGTGAGAAGTTGGCTATTGTTTGATATCCTTCCCTTCAATCTAGAAAATACTTTTTTATAATTATTAGTTAATGTGGTACTTAAAAACCTATGGTTCTACCAAAAAATACATATGAGATAAGATAGTTCGAGTAATGTATAAATTATTTAAGAGAAAACAACGGAAATGCCTGAGAAGTTCAGTACACAAATATAAAATACATAGGTAAGCCGGCTATTGAAAAACTTGTCATAATCATTAGGTAAGCAAATAAAGATATTATACCTGTGGCACAACCAGTTGTGCAATGCGGTTGGTCCATGAGTACTACGCGATTAAAATAGTAGTATATGGTAGGTATGAGTATCTTTTCCAATGATTTTTCTGATGTTTTTTAATGAATCAAGGGAAAAGACGGGAAAGACCCCAAGTGATATTTTTTTGTAAAAACAACAAATTTTTCATCATTATTAACGATAGTCATATCCTATTCTTCTTATGAATCCATTGGAAAGATATAGCAGGGGGAAGATTATTGCCTTATAATGATTATGTTATATTTGATTAATTATAAAACGATATCTTAAAAATAAGGGTGGTAAAAACACGAATATAGGCTAATTTTAAAGCTGTGTGTTCTAGCTCAATTATTTGAAAAATAGTGACTACATTTTAGACTAATCAATTGAAACATATCGAGGCAGCAGAATAGCATAGTTTCTTCCAAGATTGAATTTAGTTACACTGATTCGTACTGATTAAAATAATAAAATATTTATTAAGAACTTTATTAAAAAAATCTTAAGCTATTACATATTTGTTCGTTGATAGCCGCATTAGTCTTGAAGACTGTGTCGCAGGTATCAGCGCCCAAACTACGAAGAAACGGATCAGATGTTTCTTAATACTACTTCTGAGGAGCCCCGAAGTAAGCACTGTAAGGCTTGTGTTATGGGATTCCAGGGTAACAGATAGAATACATATACTGATATATATATAAGTATATTTATATATAAATACATATTAAACATCCATGACTAGAGTACAAATGCTCGTATTCATCACACAAACAATTGCCCCCACCAGGTCTCGAACTCGAACCTCTTGAGTCAGCAACACCATGAAACCCGGCGTACAAACCACTCGGCCACGGAGGTCGCCAAACGTATGATTGTTTGTTGTGTTGCGTGTGTGTGTGTGTGTGTGTGTGTGTGTGTGTGTGTGTGTGTGTGTGTGTGTGTGTGTGTGTGTGAGTGTATGCATATTATGTGTATGTATGTGTGTGTGTGCTCGCTCAATTTTAATGAAAATAAGAATGTTCATATTTATAATAAGAGAGTATAAATTTACATTTATGATATGGTAATGGATATATGTTAATTTCTTTATTGATCCTATTATAAACTTTATGACTAATATAATCAAAGTGACGATGAGAGTGTTTTATTAAAATACAAGCCAAGACAAATAGTTTACGAATGGAGTGAACCTTCCAGAAATCATACAATTCGATTGTAGGGAATCTTATTGGTTTATTAGCCATCACCTTGAGTACACCTCTCTGCAGTGGCGGACTAACAGGGGGGTGGAAGGGGCGGCGCGCCCCGGGCCTCCGATCTTGGAGGGCCCCAAATCCTCCGAGTTCCCTGATCAAAACCTAAACATGACTTTAAAAATGTGCCTAGTACCTACATAATTTCATCAAGATTAAAACACTATAGCCATCTACACTTTTACGTGGTACTAATATTCTTTTACCTTTGCTGAACGTGTCCAATACGCTGAGGGAATGCTTTGTAGCGGGTACTACCTCAAGCATTCCTGAATGAATGAAGTGCAAATTACAATGCCGCGTCAATGTCAGGTGTCCATGGAGGGATGCAACGAAAAATCCGAAAAGTAAATCCAAATGCACTCTTCAGTCCTTGTTCTAATCATTCCTTGAATCTTTGTGGAGTTCATGCATTTGTATGCGTTCCTTCCAGCGTCACTTGTTTTGGAACAGTAGAGAAATCATATTCGTTGTTTTAGTCATCTACACAGAGATGGCAATTGCTGAAAGAGAAAACTGGAAAAATTTAAAACTTTATCGGATACTCGCTGGAGCTTTCATTACGAGTCAGTAAAAGTTGTAAAAGAAAACATAGAGACAATTGTAAGTAGTTTGGAATATTTTCAAGATCCAACAAAAGCAAATCTAGATACAATATTAGAAGCAAGCCTGCTCCTGCCGGCTGTTTCTGATTCTACCTTTCTAACCTATTATACAATTCTGGCTTTCTGGAAGAACTAACTAAAGTTCAAGAATATTTGCAGTCTCCAAAAACGAGTCTTGATACAGGAATCGCCAAATTAAACGCCTTGTATGAGTATTTAGTGACCGAACGAACCACCATTGTAGACAATATTGTAACTTTTGTCATAAAAAAATGCAATGACATGGACATCAACATCGAGAAACAAGGAAGAAGGAAGGTAAAAAGAACGATGCCAGGTGAATCAGCTCATGATGCTGGATTATCAATTCCAGAAGAAATAAGTCGGTCAATGAATGAATGCATAAATCGATATATACAAGAATTGTCAACACGATACGGGGCCATGAAAGAAATCAATAATCTTTTCCAAATTATTGAAATAATAAAGCTTATGCTTGAAGCTTCAAATGATGCTCTGGCTTTAGCAGTTGACAATCTGATACAGTAATGATGAATTTGACAAGGAGCAAGTTTCCCAAAAAATAAAAAAGTACCGCAGGCATGTAAAAGCCACCGATACGTTGCTGCCAATCGGAGAGCCCAAGAAATCCTTTAATTAATAATAAAATGGGCCTTCAGTGAATCGTTACTCTGTAAATTGCTTATACTTCAATATAGGTATTTCTTGACTACTTGCATCTCGGTTGCATCATGCTAGAGGAGTTTTTCGAAACTTAAACTAATTAAAAATTATCTTCGATCTACAATGGGTCAAGAGCGACTGGTATTAATCTAGCCGTGCTTTCAATAGAAAAATATCTAAAGAAATCGATTTCACAGAAGTTAATGAGGAGTTCAGTAAATTTAAGTCACGAAAACACATATAAAACGCTAAAAACTATCTTTGATTTATTTATGTATTTTTTTTGTCGATCGATTCGTATTTGATTTTCTCACCCATATCCATTCCATTTTGTAGGTATGTATGTTTATTTAGCCGAAATAATTGAATTCTAATTTAAATTTCACTTACTCGATTTAACGAAATAAACATAAGAAATTAATTTTTGTTAAAGCAGGGGGGGCCTCATTCTGCTTTGCCGCCCCTGGCCTCTGACGGACTTAGTCCGCCACTGCCTCTCTGTGCACTTCTTGAAGGCAATCGACAAAATTAATCATCCTATACTACTTACTAAAAAGCTTTTTGGGGTCGGTACACACGGCGATCTGCTAAGATGGATTAAGTCTTAAGTTAGCAATCGTAGTCAAGCTGGTGTACTCAAAGGATAAGAATCAAGATTCTTTAATATTCATTCAGGAATTCCTCAAGGGTCCCACCTGGGACCAAGTTTTTAGTTATTATTGCAAATAAGAATACGTATGAGAATGTGTTTTTATTGTCCCCCATTTTCTGAAAAAGGTTTAAGAGATATATATGTTTGAATTTATCGTGACCAGAGCGTTCAATAATGATACCAGAGAATTCAAACAATACTATAAATTAACGAATATTTACAATTGACAAGCAGTTGGGTTTAATCCTACGACTAGGAAAGCCTTTTACCTTGGGCACTACTCTTAAGATACTATACAAACTGCCTACGTTCGGAGTATAATGGAGTTTAGTAATGGGGTCTGGAGTCCCCAGTATATCGTTCACAAATATAGAATAGAACGTGTACAAGGCAAATTCATAAAATCATTAGATTCGTGTCGGATTTTCTCATAATGATTATGGAGAGAGTGCAGAAAGACAATGTGTGTAGACGCCAGTATTTGGATGCCATATTTCTATACATGATAATCTACAATCACATTGACTCGGCTCAACTAATGCAGAGTATTGTGCTCAAAGTTCTTCGTTTGTCCTCACGTTCAAATGATACCTTTGAAAGCTGGGACTGTGTCGATTTCTGTTATCTGCTCGTTTTAGTTTTCTGGGTTTTCGTCGTGGGGCGGCGATGTATATAATCATCATCAGCCTATTAATGTCCCCACTGCTGGGGCACAGGCCTTCCCTATAGGTGGAAGAGGGATATTGGGACATTTAATAAATTTGATTAGCATGCAGCAGGGTACATTCAATCCTATATTTCGGCAATATATTCCAGAGATGCTTTCGTACGACTCTAACAATTGCTTTCTCAAGATTCACAAAACATCAGAAAACTTTCCGGCTCATAGCCAGATTTTAGTTTCTCCACGAAATTACGGTGCGGGAAATCTTGTTTCGTTTCATCCCCTTCCATTCCACCACAGCATTCCATCAGATTTCATCCTAATTCTCCTTTCGACTATTTTCCCGTATAACATGGCTGCGAACCTGATCAAAGTAATGGCTCTGTAGTTTGCGCAGTCCATGCGCGTTCCCTTGCCTTGCTTTTATACAAGGAAACGATGATATCGCATCTCCAGTCCGTTGGGACCCTTCCGGCCTCCCAGCAATGATTACATGGAAACCAGAAAGCGTCCCTTACATTTGATCAACTCACCATAAATCATGTAAACTCTCGCTGATTTTTCATTTTTCAGGCTTCATATCGACCATTCTGTCTCTTTCATAGAAATGCCTTCTCCAGTTGCTGGCACTGCCGATCCCATCCCAGGTTTACTAACAGTGTCAAAAGACCGGGCACACTCATACATTCCCCAAAGTATTCGCTGCACCGCACTAATATTTCGTGTTTGTCAAATAAATTTCACCGGTTTCAGACTTAATCTTACACCTTCTGGATTCTCGCCGCATGCCTTATATAAAATCTCACCGGCAGGGGTGCTTTGTCTGTTGTGCTAAGTCCGCTGCTTTGTGGTGATTTGCTGAGGATTAGTTATATCACCCCAATATCCACTACTTCGTGGTGATTTTGGGTTGGCATGTCCAGATCGGGAAGACATTAAACTGAAACCCCCTGCTTGCATCATATATGCCATAAGAAAGATTGTGTAATGTGAACTGGGAGTCTGAGCTGCGGGGTGGGGATGTCAACGGCATGATGCGTAAATTTTATTCCACCCTCAAGAACATCGTTCATTGTAATATCCCCAAACTTATTATCCGCCGTAGAAAATATCCTCACTCGCGCTTTGACTAACTTAATATCTGAACGTGATAATATTAGGTGCCGTTGCAAAAACTATAACAACCAGCGAGACTCATTTGAACTTAAGCTTGCCAATATGCGAGTGGACCATATAATAAAAAAATGTTATGCTGCATATCTAGTTGGGGTGAAGGACTCGATTAGGCATAATCCTAAAAAACTTTGGTCATTCGTCAAGGATCTCCGCGGTGGTAAATCTAACATTCCTGGTGAAATGCATCTCAACACGGCTTCAGCTTCTACCGGGATCGAAATATGTGATCTTTTCGTAACACACATCTCCTCGGTCTATACCCAGAAACTAGACTCCGTACCCAGTGGTTAAGTTAATGATAGTGACTATCTCCAACTATCTCTCGATAATGTTGCTATATCCGGACGCATGTTTACTAAGATTTTATCCAAAATTGACGAGAATAAAGGAGCAGGTCCTGACGGCATTCCGCCACTATTTCTTAAAAGAACCGCTAAATACATTGCGCTGCCACTTAAAATTATATTACCTAAATCCATTGCTACTGGTGTTTTTCCGGATTTGCTTAAGGAGGCTAAATCATTCCAATCTTCAAAAAAGGTGAAAATAATAACGTTAAAAACTACTGCCCAATATCTATTTTGAATGCAATATCAAGTTATTTGAAAAAAATATCTGCCCGTTTTTAACTTCCCATTTTAAAAACATCATTCATGCAAACTAGCACGGATTCTGTAAACATAAATCAGCAGCAACCAATCTTGTTTCGTATAAGTCAACGAAGTAACGAAATCAATCGACTCTGGCGCAGAAATAGATTCTGTTTATACAGATTTTAGCAGTGCGTTTTACAAGGTTGACCACAACATACTGTTTCTGAAACTGAAGCGTTACGGAATTCATGGACACCTACTGCTATGGCTCCGTTCTTACTTAGAGCATCGGTTGTTAAGGGTAGTTGTGAAGGGCTACAGATCGAAACCATTCCTCACCTCGTCGGGAGTCCCCCAGGGTTCGATCTTAGGACCGATTCTGTTTCTAGTATTCATTAACGATATCCCTGATAAAATCCGTTATAGCAGCTGCTCTCTTTTTGCCGACGATTTAAAGTTGTATCGACCGATCAAAAACGAGGAAGATATACTTTTGCTTCAAAAAGATCTAGACTCGGTATCGGAATGGTGAGTAGACAACGGTATGACTCTTAACGCAAGTAAATGTCTGTTTATAAAATTTACCAGAAAGACAAAAAACATTAACGCTTCTGTCTATACCATTAATTCTGCACTGCTAACCGAAGTGGGTTCGACTCGTGATCTGGGCATTGTAATTGACAAAAAGCTCGGATTCATTGAACATATTAACGTTATTGTTTCAAAGGCATTAAAAATGCTGGGTTTCTTGAAACGTCTGTGTAAGAATTTCCATAACACCGCAACAATTTTATGCTTGTATAAGAGTTTGGTGCAAAGTATACTAGAATACAGTTCTCAAGTCTGGAATTCGCAATATCGAGTCCACATTGATAGAATCGAGCGAATTCAACGTAATTTTACGAGGTTTCTTGCTTTCAAAGACAGAAAGTTTCCTCACCTTGCGGATTACCACACTCGTTTCAAATACTTTAAACTTCATACCTTAGAAAAGCGTAGGAAAACTGCGGACATTTTATTACTGCACAAATTACTTCACGGCAATATTGTTGCGCAAGACCTTCTTGCGGAAATTAAGTTAAAGGTTCCCAGAAAAATCCCCCGCCAACCCATCAAATCATTCGTTAACTGTCTCTTTAAAACAAAATTAGCTTCACCGTTTAACAGAATTAAAGATGCATACAACGAGATATGCCATGATGTTGACATCTTTCATGCTCCACTCGAAGCCATCAAAAATCATTTCTATGGTAACGTTCAAACCGAACAGTAATTTATTACTGTTAAAAATATAAGTACCTATCTACATATAGACAATGTTGTACATGCCTGCAATGGCAATTCACACGGTTGAGTAGTACCCTGCATCTGTAATCTATATTGAAATTTGTGAAATCGTCGATGGTATGTCAAATAAATAAATAAAATTTGATTGGTACTTACACATGGGCTTGCCGGGTTTATGTGTGGTTTGCCTGTAAAGGTCGGGCGGGCGCCATGCCGCGCGCGTTGTGCGGGCGCACGCGGCGGGCGCACGCGCAGGCGCAGTAGACGCGCATGGCGGAGGGCGGCGGCGCCGGCGCCGGCACCGCGCCGGGCGGCAGCGGGGCGCCCGCGGGACAACCGCGCCAGCCGCGCCGAGGGCCCGCGCCCATCGCCTCCTTCGACCACGACCACGACCACGACCCCTCCGACGAGGTGAGAACGCTCGTACGTATCTCTTTTTCTTCTTCTACTCTTCTGCCTATTTTCATCTGTATGACTTTGACTACACGCCAGAGCAGGCGAATACAATCAATAAAGAAAAAATATATTTGCGCCCATAGATAAATGATCGATCTCGCTTAAAAGTATTATATTATATTATTATTGGTCTCGTCTTTAATCGAGACCGATCATTCATCCATGTTTGCGTCGTTACTTTCAAGTATCTATTCTATCTCTGTTACTTCTAAACTTTTCCAAAAATTTTGATTCTCATTAATATTTAATTGTGGTCGATAAACTTTTTTTGAAAAATAAAATATTCCCAGTGTTATGATTTTTAGAAAATTGTTTTAAATAATATAAAACTATGTAGTTTACAAAAAAATTTAATGAACTTCGTGAGTAGGTATTAGGGAATTGATGACGTAAAATTACGGTTCACAGTCGAGTCCTGAGACGAAGCAACCGACCCGGCTGCCGGAGATCCGCGAGGACCGAAGCCCCGGCGCGAGCGCAGACGGGCTCTGTCCACCCGAACAGCGCGCGCGCTCCGCGTCCACGCCGGGCGCGCTACAAGCGCCACCCGCGCCGCGCATCGACATCTCCCGCGCCTCTTCCTCCAGCCACCACGACTCGCGCGACAGCTCGCCCGAGCTGGCACTGTTCGCCGGGTCCGCGAGCGGGTCCGGCGCGGGCGCGGAGCTGGGGTTTCGCGAGGACGGCGCGCTGGACCTGCGCTCCTCCACCGAGGAGCTCGCCTTCCTGGAGCCCGCGCCCGCGCCGCCGCCCTCCGGCCCGCCGCCCGCGCGCCGTCACTCGCGCAAGGACAGCCAGGGCTCCGAGGCCGCGCTGCTGGCCGTCTCGGGCCGCACGAGCCGCCTCTCCAGCGTGGGATCCCAGTGCTCCGCGCACTCCGCGCTCTCCGCCTTCAGCCGCACGAGCCACGTGTCCCGCCTGTCGGTCGCCTCGGGGGCGTCGCGCTCGCCCTCGCCGCACAGGATGTTGCTCGAGACCTCCTTCTGCGGCCCGAAGCCCATCGAGACCGACCCGGAGATTTGCACGGCGGCCGTCGAGGAGAGGCTGATGGAGATGGCGAAGATGAATGCGGCGGATCGGGAGCTGACGCCTTCGATTTCAACTGTGGCAGTGCCGGTAGTGGTGACGGCCCCGCCGCCCCTGGATGCGCGCGATCGACGCGAGGTACGCACCGAAGCGACCGTCGAAAACGCCGCGCCGCGCCCCCCCGCCGCCCGCCCGCCGCCTGCGGACGCGGAGCCGGCGACGGTCGCACCCGCACCTGCGGTGGCACCCGCCCAACTCACCTGTGATCCTGCTCCGCCGGCGGTCGACCCGGAGAAGAAGCAAAAAGAGAAGAAAAACCGGGCGCGGGCCGAGGAGAGGCAAGCTAGGTCCCGGGAGCGCCGGGATCCCTCGGATCGACGAGCGAAGAGTCAGACCAAAGATATCATTCGAATAAGATTAAAACCGAGCGAGGAGTACGACGACGACGACGTCGATGATGAGGAAGACGACCGCGCGCAAGCGGTCGGGGTCGCAGCCAAACCGATCACGCTGGCGCTGAACGAGCGGGCACCGCGCTCCGCAGATTTAGCCTCGGAGGCGGCACCCCAGCGTCGGCCGACCCGGGACAGCAGAACACCATCACCGACGGGGGCGGTCGTCTCGCGAAAATCGTCATTCTGCTCCCTGTTCAAGTCTCGGGAGACGATCGCGTCCCCCGAGTCGCCGTCGGATGCGCTCCGCCGGAAGAAGAGCGCGACCGACGGACGATCGAGGAGCAGAAGCCGCGACCGCTCCACGACGCCGACGTCCGCGACCAAGATCCGCGGCTCCGTGCTGTCATTGTTCAGAACGCCGCGCAAGAGCGCCACCTCGCCGTCGCCGAGCTCGCGGGACGGCTCGCCCGTGGTGCAGCAGACGCGGCAGCTCGCGCCGCCCGCGGACCGCCCGCGACGCGGCGAGCGGCTCAAGTACTACGAGGACACCGCCGAGGGCATCATCCACATCCCGCTGCGGACGCCGCCCGAGGAGGCGGGTGCGTCGCGCCTGTCCGACCCCGAGCGCCGCCCCAGCGCGCCCGAGCCGCGCATCAACGAGCTCGAGCCGCGCCCCGCGTCCGCGCCGCACGCGCGCGCCCTCCACACCCCGCCCGTGTCCAGCGCCGGGCCCGCGCCCACGCCGTGCACCTCCACGCCCGCCGTCAGCACCGTGGCCGGCGAGCGCCCCAAGTCGATCCGGAGGACCGTCCTCCCCGACGGCAGCATCATCATCCCCCTTCGCTCGCCGACGGAGAGAACGCCGCCCGAGGAGATCCTCCCGCCGGCCCCGCCCCCGAGATCCCCCGAGGCGAGTCGGTCGATCGACTCCGCACCCCGGCCGAGCTCCGGCGCGGCGACGACGAGCGTCGAGCGGTCGACCAGCTCGGAGACGTCGCCGGTGCCGGCGGAGACGGCGCGGCCCGAACCGGCGCTCGCGGAGAACGCCCCGAACGGGGAGCGCCCGCGCCGGCGCGAACGGATCGTGTTCGCGACGCACGTCGGCAGCAGGGACCAATTGTTCAGCACGCAGCTCAGCATCACCAAGACGCCGAGCGTGACGAGCGAGATCTCCGGCTCGCTTCCCAGCTTTCCGGAGACGGAGGAGGCTCGCGGCGGGACGGCGAGCCCGCCGGAGACGCGGGAGTCGCGGGAGTCGTCCGGCTCGGAGGCCAGCTCGGAGGCGGGCGGTGCGACGGGTAGCGGCGAGGGCTCGGCGGGCGGAGCGGGCTCGGCGCGCGCGTGCAGCGACGCGGAGGCGCGCGGGCTGGTGGTGCAGGAGTCGTTCGAGGAGGAGCTGCCGTACGTGCCGACCACCCTGCCGCAGGAGCGTCCGCGCGCGCTGCCGATGCTGCCGGTGCGGGAGCGCGCGGCCGCCGCCCTGCGCGTGGCGCCGCTGCAGCGCCCGCGCCCGCCGCACGTGCCGCGCTCCGCGCCGCCGCCCGTGCCTGGGCCTGTGCCCTTGCCGCAAGTGAGTGATCCTCCCGATTCCTTTTCTTAGAATTATTTTCGATCGTACGTCACCTAAACGAGCTCAAAACTAAGTAGTTCTATGTTAAAGACGCGGTACCCTCGATGCGAGTTTGAGTTCACGAAAACTATCATAGTTTTCGTTATTGTAAATTATATTTCTATGACCGTTTAGGTGAAAACTAACCAAAAATGCTTAAAATTTAAGAAGACGCAAACGATTTGATGCTCGCGAACCCTCATCGTTAGTTTTCATAATTGTAAAACTCATACTAAGGGTACTGATTTTTATTTATCTACCGATGCCTAAGTGTTGTGACACCGTCCCCACACTCCCTGTGAATTCCTCGAGGAATAGGTAAAGTACTGTTCCGTCCGACTCTCTTCAATTTTTTCTTTAAATTTAAAGAATAAATGAACCGTTTTTCGTTGTCAAAGTTTCCATGGAAGCAGCTAATTTGTTCTTACGTCCGGTAGGGGCTCTGCTTATTTTACTATTGCAGCTTCAACATGGCAATGCGAATACTTACTCGCTAATTGTTCGTACTTAGGGTATTGATCTGGCAAAGTGGTTAGATTTAATTAAATAGGAGTGGTGTGATCGCAGGCGACACAGCTGGCCCAGTCGTGGTCGTCGACCGGCGTGGGCGGTGCTGGCGCGGCGGAAGGCGACAAGTTGCGCATCAAGTTGCCGCGCCGGCCCCGCACCGGCTCCGCCAGCGCCCCGCCGCGACCCGAGCGGCCAAGGACGCGCAGCGGCAGCGACGGTACCTACTACAACTATACTATAACAGAAGGCTTGGCTATATTTTAACACTTACTAAAATATAAAATGTTCTTTATTTTATGAATGCTGCCAAAGAATTAGCTTTCATTAAACTACTTGACCGTCACTGAAAGCTTTATATTGAGATAGCACTTCCGTTTCCCGTCGAATTATCATCAGTTTCCGTACTTTTATTCACCTTGTATCCGGTCCAGTGGCGACACCTGGCAGAAGCGCGGCCATTTTTGTTTTCCTAATTTTTGGCAGCGCCATATTAACTCATTGGCGTTCTGACTCCCGTCGAAGCAACACGTGCTCAATCTGAGCGATCGTTGTGCGATTTTAAAGGTTTTATTATTATTAAGTGATAAAACTGTAAGTAAAACTATTTTATTTAACGGTTTTTGCCGTTCGTGTTATTCCAAATAGGTACTTTACGTATTAAAAGTGAAGGAACCGTAAGTAAAACTATAATTCTTTTTGATAGTTTTTGCAGCCCTTGTGATAAGGGATATATAAAACAAATATGTTAAATTGTGCAATACGCTTGTTTGAAAAAGTAATAATAAGCCGTGAGTAAAACTTAACGGCAATTCAAGGTGCGTTTTGTTTAAAAAATTAAAGTACCTACATGAAAGTAAATTTTGCAATACTTTACGCCTGTCTTGGTCGTTTATCATAAAAACTATTTTAAGAGTGTTTTCTCTTGGTACTCAATTAATGTTTCCGTATAAGTAAATGTGAAAGTAAATTGGTAAATGTATTACAAAATACTTAATTAAATTGTTTTACAGTTTAGAGTGAAGGAATATCGGTCAATATTGACGTTTCAGCCGCCGACTGACTGGCATTATTGGCAAAAACAGCAAGATGTGTGGATCTAGTCATTATTGTTCTTCGAACAGCTGCCGTAATAATTTGTTGAATTTGTCGTCTTCTGGTATAACGAAAGCGGCATCGCTGCCTCAAGAAAAATAAGCGAGCTTGATATTCCAGCCCTTTTATTAAAAGCTTGTTCGAGGGGTAAGTGAACTATGTACAATCTTAATAAGGTATTTCTAATGTCTATATGCCGTTTTCTGAACATGGCCAGCTATCAATATGTAAAGGCTTATGAATAAAAAGTTCTAACATTTTTACTGACCAATACACGTAATAAAAATTCTCATATGAGTCGTGTGACTAAACTAGGATAAAGGAACGCTCTGTTCGAAAGACATTCAACGTTTATTTTAAATGATATGCTGATGTAAATTAAAAATTGTAATCATAGTCCAGGCTTTATCAAACTGGAAACAAACAACGAGGTAAAGAAGTATTATGATAATTTATGATATATCACGTTCCTGACATTAATTTTCTTTCAGCAATTGCATATTTTTAAAATAAAAATGAATCATTGCGTTCACCTGCTCAGTTAATTTTAATAACGAAAGTGATAAGATAACAGAATCGTTTCTTAGGTCTTTTACAGCTAGCACAAAGCTAAAAAGTAAAAATTAAAGCACTGCAAGAAGTTAATGATCTCTGTGATGAAGCACCACTTAATAAGATACCATCTATGAGGTTGTTTTTATCGTATTAAGTAAGTATTTGTCATGGATTTAAGTGATTGACATTTCATCAACCTAATGAGCAACTCGCGCAGAGGCAAGTGATATTCATAAGCTTCATCTCATGAAGCCCAAGGCGTGTCAGGACATGCCCTCCCATGGCGTACCTACACATATGAGTACCGGTGGCAAATCACCCTCGCGGGGTGCATATTATATATAATTTGTTTCCACTACGTGGAATCTTATTAAATGCCTCTAATGCCTTGCCTACATATACGAGTACCGGTGGCAAATCACCCTCGCGGGGTGAATATTATGTACAATTAGTTTCCACTACGTGGAACCTTATGAAATGCCTCTAATGCCTTGCCTACATATACGAGTACCGGTAGCAAATCACCCTCGCGGGGTGCATATTATATACAATTTGTTTCCACTACGTGAAACCTTATGAAATACCTCTAATGCCTTGCTTACATATACGAGTACCGGTAGCAAACCACCTTCGCGGCGTGCATATTACCAAAACTCTGATGACCGCCCCTCGCGGGGGCATATTATGTATAATTTGCTTCCTCCATATGGAACTCATTATGAATAAGGACTTGCCTTCCATGGCTTGCCTACACATACAAGTATCAGTAACAAAACATCGTTGATAGAGAAATATCCTCATCAATCTTATAATCGCCCTTGTGGGGTCATATCACACATAATATATTATTTCCATTACTTGAATATCAATATATGTTCTCCTTAGAACATGTTAGCTTCGTACTATTATGTAAGCACCGGTAACATACGACACTCGAGTGGAGCAAATTATGCATAATTTAACAAGTAGTCTATTCGTGATTCATAATTTATTTTTGTGACCATGGGGTCTGTAAAAGTGTAAACGATTCGAAACATTAAAAATAAGTAAATTGAAAATATAATAAATGTCGCTTGACATAATTCATTACTTCCATCGCGTGGAAATCCATACATCAACGCAACGCAACATACCCGCTCATGGCTTGCGTACACACATAAGTATCGGCTATAAACTACCCTCTTAATAGACTATAAAGATCGAACATCGAATGTTGACGTACCCCGTTGGGAAGTGCAATGTACGTGGTTTTTAAGGTGTCGCATACTCCGAGGTCTTGGGTTCACGCCGGTGGGGCAAATCATTGTATGATAAAAACGAGCATCTGTGCCTAAGTTTTGGTTGTTAACAAATATGAATTGAAAATCTAATCTAATAAATTCTAATCTATGCATCATCATTATGCATTTTTAGGCGTTAGCCCATAACACAAGCCTTTCAATGCCCATTATAAGGCTAGGCTAATTGGTGTGAAGTGTTGACTCGATCACTACGGTTGTTCTACCGTAATATATAATACATTTCAAAAGAAAAAGGAATATCGAAACAATTAATGTTTGAAAAAAAAAAAAATTTAGTGCAGGTAAGTTGATAAATTGGGAGCTCCATAAATAATTCTTAAATAAATTTAATGGTATCGCATGCCATTCAAAAGCTTGTTTATCTAAATCCAATATATATCAAACTCCAATCTCAAGTGCAGTACACTATAAATATGTAAAGAATTCTAAGTTTTCTGCAATTTAAGGACTATCTGCCAGATAAATAGAAGATAACATATTTTCTCTTGAAAATAACAAAAGTAAACCAAATGGGTTGCTCACTCTTTTGATCGCGTAATGAGAGAAACTTGCAATATTAGAAATGTCGCGTATGTGGTGTCTGAGGTGGCCAACATGATCATTTTGATATATAAGTTGTGCTAGTTACTGAAGAAAGATTGCACGATCTACCAAATTCTTGAAAGGTTTTGAAGATCATTGTATGCAATTATCCCCTTTATGTTATTTTAGTAAAAATTACTGAAAACTGTTCTTAATATTAAATTTACGCTTTCTAACCTTGCCACGACTGTCTGGAATAAATATACTTCAAACCCTACGCATAGTACATGCACACCTCATGTAAGCTGTGTAAATCTTATAAATAACTAAATCTTTATTTAGTATTAAGTAATACATATAAATGACTCAGATCTAAGAACTAAAAACAAAAGGAAAAATTACAATCAATTATAGATTTCAGGATGGCAAATGAATTTCATAAAATCTGGTTTGAACTTCGTAATAGCATAATTTATCACGGCAACCCAGCAACAATATAAAAACTATACCAGAGAATTTCATTGTACAAACGTAAACTTCAGAAGTTGATCGGTTTCAACATTTTTGTCATTCCGTGGGATTGTATCAACCACTCCCTACTTCTAACAATAATTATGAATTCACTGCAATCGACCTTGCAATCACTTCCCGCCAATCTAATATGAAAGCTTGGGAAGTATAGTTGAAGAACACGGCACGATATGCTAGCACTACGCTTTTCAACATATTCTACAAAGAGCGACAGCTCTGTCTTAAACAGCTATGAGATGGCTCGGAAACGCTGGCTTGCGTGGTTGCATTGGTCTAGGAACAAGAATGTTTATCGGAATAATCCCGCAAGTTGTGGACTCGGCTCTGAGCTCACACGATTTTTGAGAGACTTATTTTTAACTCGTGACTTATCTTAAAATAAATACCATTATTTTAAATAAGTCAGTAGTTTTTACATGATATACCAATGGATGATAAGTCTAATTACCTAAGCTCACCTGTCTTGGCAAACACATTTAATGAAGTCGATTGTTTTTAAAGAATCAGTCCGTATCCTACTATTCTGTGTCTATAAGTTAACTTATTTCCTTTTCTTCAATAATGTACTCGTTACATCATAATGATATGTTTCAAATACTTCGTCATATATGTTGTTCTGAACGTCGTACAGTAATTATGCTGCGTATTATTTGGTTCAGCATGTGGTACACATGACTTGTTCCTACTTCAAATTATCCCGAATCATTGTATTTGTACCGACGAAGATTAGTTTAGCCTTGTTTTGGTTCAAAACAGGTGAAAGTAGTTAAAGACAATCCGATTGGTGACTTGTACCGAATAATGGTAATCGTAAGTGGGACCCTGATTTTTGGTACTTAAGTAAAAAGTACAGTCTTGTAAAATGTAAGACTCGGTATCGAACAACTTTACATCTTTTTCTCGCGTTCGTACGCCTTATTTGTGATATAAAAAGATACAAATGAATGCTACACAAGGAAGTGTCCGGTCATAGTTTTAAGCAAAGGAATATAGCGATCAGCTAATACATATGTTAAAGCAGCTTCGTAAGCTTGAAGAAATTAAAGGCGTGATTCAAATAATATTATTTGATTAATTTTTAAGCTTACTCGTTTCTTTATACAGTTTCATATAATCTGATAAATGTTAATATTTAAATTTATCATAAATTGTCACATTGGCGTATATATCTATGTACGTGGCGATCACCAGGCGATAACAAACAGGTCTCAATATAAAGCTTTCAGTGACGGTCAAGTAGTTTAATAGCAGCATTTTACCTGAAATAAAATGCATATTAAAATACTTACCTCACTGAAAGCTTTCACTTTAAATTCTGCCTGGTGAAATAATTGAGCCAATGAGTTAATATGGCGCTGCCAAAAATTAGGAAAACAAAAATGGCCGCGCTTCTGCCAGGTGTCGCCACTGGACCGGATACAAGGTGAATAAAAGTACGGAAACTGATGATAATTCGACGGGAAACGGAAGTGCTATCTCAATATAAAGCTTTCAGTGAGGTAAGTATTTTAATATGCATTTTATTTCAGGTAAAATGCTGCTATTAAATTCATCCTTCACGATAGACAGTTTTCATTAATCTCGTCAACATGTCACTCCTGTTGGAAAATAACTGAAATAAAAACAGAAAATACGTACATAATAGTTTAATCAACAAAGCAGTGTTGTAAGTATTAGTAATCGGGAACGACTTCTGAGATTTGCAGCAGCTTACAATAAAATGACATCGTCTTGAAGACTATATTTTTTAAACATTGATAGGACAATTTTTCATGGCAAAAAAATACTCGATTCGTAGACTCCTGTGATGTGTTTATTAAGCGGTATGGTGGCAGGAATGGAGACGCGGCCGAAGACGGAATGGATTGACTTCTCCGAAGTGCCGGAGCGGCGAAAACAGCCCACGCGCATCCAGACACTGCCGGCGGGGGCGGCTGCGACGGGGTCACGAGACGTGGTGTTCAACTACGTGGCGCCCGAGCACTGCCGCTGCGAGTGTCACGCGCGCGACCCGCACCTACAGGGGAGCGGGTAAGTGGCGGGCGCGTGCGACGTGGTGTTCAGCTACGTGGCGCCCGAGCACTGCCGCTGCGAGTGTCACGCGCGCGACCCGCATCTACAGGGGAGCGGGTAAGTGGCGGGCGCGTGCGACGTGGTGTTCAGCTACGTGGCGCCCGAGCACTGCCGCTGCGAGTGTCACGCGCGCGACCCGCACCTACAGGGGAGCGGGTAAGTGGCGGGCGCGTGCGACGTGGTGTTCAGCTACGTGGCGCCCGAGCACTGCCGCTGCGAGTGTCACGCGCGCGACCCGCACCTACAGGGGAGCGGGTAAGTGGCGGGCGCGTGCGACGTGGTGTTCAGCTACGTGGCGCCCGAGCACTGCCGCTGCGAGTGTCACGCGCGCGACCCGCATCTACAGGGGAGCGGGTAAGTGGCGGGCGCGTGCGACGTGGTGTTCAGCTACGTGGCGCCCGAGCACTGCCGCTGCGAGTGTCACGCGCGCGACCCGCACCTACAGGGGAGCGGGTAAGTGGCGGGCGCGTGCGACGTGGTGTTCAGCTACGTGGCGCCCGAGCACTGCCGCTGCGAGTGTCACGCGCGCGACCCGCATCTACAGGGGAGCGGGTAAGTGGCGGGCGCGTGCGACGTGGTGTTCAGCTACGTGGCGCCCGAGCACTGCCGCTGCGAGTGTCACGCGGGCGACCCGCACCTACAGGGGAGCGGGTAAGTGGCGGGCGCGTGCGACGTGGTGTTCAGCTACGTGGCGCCCGAGCACTGCCGCTGCGAGTGTCACGCGCGCGACCCGCATCTACAGGGGAGCGGGTAAGTGGCGGGCGCCGCTGCGAGTGTCACGCGCGTGATTTTACGCCGGGTTTCAAGGTACTCGTATCGCCTACTCGAGAGCTCTCGAATTCGAATCCCGGTAGGGGCAGATGTTCATTTTTTTATGTTATAGGGGGCATACGAGCAGACGGCTCACCTGATGGTAAGTAATCACCGTTGCCCATGGACACTTGCAACACCAGGAGTATCACAAATGTGATTAATACGAGCATTTGTACTCCATTCATGGATGTTTATTATGTATTTCTATATTTGTACTCTGTATGGTTGGATGTACTCGTAAAATATTCTTATATTTTTTTTTGATGAGATGATTTTTTATTTTATTTTTAAAGAAAGAAAAAGATTTTTATTTAACCCTATAACACAATAAATCGTTAAAAAGAAAGAATATAAAATAGCAATGATAATAATGGTTAACCAGGACCCTGTCTCAGCATGAGCTGCTGCTGTCGCTGTCGCTGATGTTCTGACAGGGCGTGATAAACTACGTGTTGTTGGTATATGAGGACGGTCACTCATTATGGTGGGTGTGGTTGCAGGGAGTCATGTGAGGAGCATGCGGGAGACAGCTAGCTGCAGCCCCGCGCACTCCACTACTACAGGTAATATACAGAAAGCAACACTGAAAACTGGTGACCTACAGAATTAAAAAGTGTTATGACGCTGTATTCAACTATTCAAGAACCCACAATAACGCCCTCAATTTATTACACAATATAATTCATCAACATCGATTTGTAATAAATTATTTGAGTCCAACGGAACATTAAAACCTAACACTTATCTATATAAATATTTTTATTATGGAATATGGTCCTTCGAGCTGGATATGAGCTAGCGGGCTACGAATACAAGTTTCGACTTGTACTAGATATTTAGTGGTGGTGTTAATAGTTGAAGAGCATGTTACATATAAATTATACCTGTTTCATAGAGTCCACAATATTGCCATAAATTATTTTAAATGTAATCTTCTTAATATATAAAATTCTCGTGTCACAGTGTGCGTAATTGATTTACTCCGAAATGGCTTTTCACGAAATCACTCCCAAATCCTCAAATTGCAGGAAAGATGTTACACATCAAAAAAGGCCGGTGCCTTAAACTCGTACTCGTGCTCGTAAAGTAGCAAAAATGTGCTGAATTCACACTCTTTATTAACGGCAATAACCTGTCTGAATAGATTATTATCGATTACAATGTGGGATTTAATGAATGAAAATTAATATGTGTTTTTGCTTTCAGACTTAGGACAATCTTCGGGTGGCGTCGTGGCTGAGTAGCCACCCCGCGATCCTTTTATAAACTATATTCTCTATAGCTCGAATCGAGATGTTATCATTTTTGAGATGTAAATTTACCAAGTTCAGTAAGCATTTGAGTACATATATTTATAGCGTCGTTTATATCTCTCCTAATTAGCCATCGTTGACTACGCATTTTTCGATGTTTATTGAATTGTTCGAAGATATATAGGTAGTTGTAAGTAAAAATTGTTGCGGTATTTATGAGCGCCAATCGCGTGTGATAGCCAGCTCACGGCCGCAAATGGCACCGGCTTGTTCCCACCCACTGGTACTGTGTGGTAGTTAGGTATCTATTGGACGGAATGAGGATCTCATGGCGATCAATCAAATTAAAATAGTATTGAAAATTTCAATTTAGTCATGTCCTCCCGTCCTGTTTGTATTTTAAAGGCAGAGTACTGGGTGCCCTGTGATTTTAAGAAAGCTGTTCCCAACAAGTTCTGCATTTCCGTGCATTTTGAACGAATTGACAAACCTTTGGCCCCTTTTGAGTATTATCGTGGTTATAGAGGAAAAAAATATTCAGGTATCTTGCTTGTATGTAGGTAAGAACATACATATTTACTATAGATATATTTTAATATGACCAAACTGAAACAAAAGAAAAAATAATTCTAAAATATTAGTTTATTTCAATTGATTCTTCATATGACCACACCGATCCTACTTAATCGGATCATTGGTAGTTTGACACAGAGTGGGAATATTACATTGTGCTGAAACTTCCGTGAATAGTTAGTTGCAAAGAAAAAAAATGTTTATATCAAATCTTATGAGACAATGATGTAATTCGATATTCTTAAAAATTAAGTACTTACCGAGATGTGGGTAGATAGAGCTGTGTGAACTCTGACGTCATATTACCTGAGCAAAGATCGATCAATATTTAATATCTCTAGAATAATGTAGGAAAGCGGTACATAACAAAATGATGGACATGTATATCTTTTTGTCCCATCACAATCAAAAAAGGCACCCGCCAACTCACTATAGTTTGCCAACAGCTGACCCTCAGAGCTGACCAACCTGCAATTTGACCACTTGACAATGCGATTGATAATATGACGTCACAGTCATTAAAAGATAGAAAACTCAATATAGATGACCTGTTTTTTTTTTAAATATAACTTTGATGTTTATTTGTACTATCAAAATTATCCTTTCACCCTGTTTTCATGTTTGTTATGAGCCTCTATAATGAGGTAAATTTGTCCATCACACAACTCATTTCTATTTTATACAAAATTGTCTTAGTTACCAGTGCGCCGTTGTGTAAGTACCTGCCGCTCGCTCGATTCTATTCTTGTATTGTGTAAATTCTGTACGGTGTCGTCGTTTAAATATAAGTGTATAAAAATGCAATAAATTAGTCACTACCTATGTCGATATGAGTTTTGTAAAGTTTAGATGAACCGAATGCATAATATATTCTATTGTTATTAGTGCACGACCGCCTGTTGAAGGCGACGAGTCTCGTTCAACATTTTGACTTTCGTATCATGCTGGTACTTCTTACCCCCTCATCTGTGTAAGCAAAATTTATTTCAAAACTCTGTCTATGTAGCCCTCCATTTTGTTTTTCACGACCGCAAATTAAAAAGTTTTCCGAGAGGACGATTTTCCTTTTATTATTCGAGTTGAACTGTAACATCAGGGCTTCAGTTATGTCTTTAATCAACCCTGAATAGTTTCGCCACAAAGTTATCTATATATCAGATGTGTAAATTAAAAACGATTACTAAATATGATAAAACGCCAAATAAGAAAAATGAAAATAATTTTCTGAACTTGTGGCAGAAATCCGTCATCTCCACAGACAGGGAATTTTTGACGTTGGCAGAAATCTGCCATTTACACAGACGAAGGGATATGGCTTTAAGTATTTGCTTTTTATTAATATGACAGCAGTATATCCATATCATGCTCTATATTCCCACACGAACAAAGAATGTGACTCATTTCTTTGTCTTAGGTACTCTTAGGTACGAATAGTATTCGCAAGTGGGATTCCTTGCACGCGTATGTGTTCCCACCTTCTGACAACCTGGGAGCCCACGGTCCACCGCCTATCGAAATTTCTATGGCTATAGCTTATGATTTGATTAATTCATTTTGTTATTTCTGACCGCCGAAGGTATTCAAATATTTCACGCTCATTTTCTTTAATATTGTTATGACCAATGCAAAACAAAAGACGCGAGGCATTTGAAAACCTTCGGCGGTCAGAAATAACAAATGAATCCATGAGCTATACTTACAACAATCCCGATAGGCGGTAGCCCCCTGCGGTCTTTTAAAGCATTTCTGCGGGTCGGCAAGGTGAGGATGGTTGGTGTGGCAGTTCATAAATGCTGCATCAGCTATCTTTGCGTTAGGACTTTACCGCTACTAAACATCAAAGGTGGGATTTCATTTCTCATTTACCTACCTAGCTGTAAAAAAGGGAGAGACTGCTGTCAAAACCACAAAAAGCAAATATGACCGTGTGGAGTGCCTAGCATAACGCATTTGACTGTTTTCCGGTTCCAAGTTTTTCAAGATGTTTGTCAAGATGTTGAGCGAAGTTGTCCGCCGGAGTGTGTGTAGGGTAGTTGTCCCCCGAGCGACGACCGCGCGCAACTTTGATGCATTTACTATTTATGTACTTATATTTCGATGTTTTCACTTATAATCTTTTAACGTTACGCTGCCATCGTATACTTGACCGCTTCTCTGCGTCGTTCGCGTTTCATCGACTCAATGATTAGATTACGTTGATGCAATATTATGTATGTAAGAATGAACGTACTATGTAATGTTAAAATGAAAATAATTCTATCAGTTTAGAAAAAAGTCTGAATTATGAAGAAAATATATAAATTTTTGCTTTCCATTCTTGTGTTTCACTGTTACTTCTATCTAAAAATAATGGTATATTTTGATGAAAGCGCAAGCTCGCTTCGCTTTCAGCTCTGGGGGCCATTCGCCAATCGGAAATGCTTTGGAAAACGCTAACGCTTTCGATTTTATTTTGTTATTATCTGACCGCCGAAGGTTTTCAAATACCTCACGCTCGTTTTATTTAATATTGTTATTACCAATGCAAAAGAATAAAAAAAGAGCGCGAGGCATTTAAAAACCTCAGGCGGCTAGAAATAACAAAATGAAATCGCAAGCGTTAGCGTTTTCCAAAGCATTTCCGTTAGGCGAATGGTCAACACAGTGGGCCTGATAAGAAACGATTAAACTAACAACTAGTCTCACTCAATATTGAAACTCTAGTATTGCGAATATTTGGGCTATCGCCATATAGCCAAATATTCGCGAATACTTCGGCACTTCAGGCAAAGCTTCAGGCATATCGCTCCGCTGGTAGACTGGCTGGTAAACTCTCGTCCCCACACATCCCTCCAGTCACTTTAGTCAGTCGGCCCGCAGCCCGCACCCGACGTGCCCACTGAGCAAGGAATTATAATCGTGCCTGGCTAAGGTGTTAAGTGAAACCACAGAGTACAATTAGGGATGCAAAGTCTTCTGAAATATCGATATTTATATCGAAGTTAGGAAAATATTGATATCCGATATATCGACCATTTTAACTCGATATTATCGATATATCGATATTTTTTTCCTTTTTTTTGCTTTGTATTAAGTTTGCAAAGCAAAAACCTAAAATTAAGGAAGCAAAGGTTTCCGAAATATCGATATTTATAATGTGGGCAGGTAAATATCGATATCCGATCCGATATATCAGCCATTCCAACATTTCCAACACGATATTTTCTATATTTTTTATAGCGCTGTAAGAAGTATCAAATCAAAAGCAATTTCGAATGAAAGATATTTATTTTGTTTAAAATGTTTGCACGCAGCCAAAATCAGAATAGATAATCATATGAAAAACACTTGTTATGTATTAGTAAAACCCAAACATCAGGGGCGTGCCCATGGCTTCAGAATAGGGTAAGCCCAAAGCTTCCAAAATTACTATACTTATCTTACTTTGTTGACTTGGCGACCTTAAAAAAATTACGATTTGTATAAGATTCTTAATTTTATTTTGTGTTAATATTACAATGATATTAAACTTCAATTAATCAGTACTTGACAATTATCTAGAAAGAGAGGCAAGGATTTTATTTAAGTGCATGAGTCACCATTAGGTATACGATTATACCTATATACGTTGGTGTCGATTCTGGCATGATTATCTAAACTTAAAACTAAATTTAACATCAGTCTCTCCTTTTCATTCTGTATAGAGAATGACAAGGATACACTGTTGTCAAATTTAATTTTAGGTTTAGAGAATCATGTCAGAATCCACACCAGTTTAGTATATTTCTTGGGGTTCAAGATTTTTTTAATACATCTATAAGCTCTTGCGATTTCAAAGCAATAGTTATTTCGATATTATTCAATTTGGATAGTCATAGCAGATAAATTAATTGATATTATTGTGTTCAAATTTAGTCTACGAAATATCGATATTTTGGAATTTCCGATATCGATATTATCGATATCAGTGAATTTTAAATATCGATATAAATATCGATATTTTGGTCTCGATATTATCGATATTCCGATATATCGTTGCAACCCTAAGTACAATACATACTCAAAGACATTAGTATTTTAACTGAAAAGTCAAACTAAAGTGCTTAATTTAGCTGACGCGTAACATGGTTTGGAGTAACTATAAAAATTTTGAATTTTTCGCGAATTAAGAGCCTGAATTTTATGGAACCCAAAACAACTTTTTAAATTTTTAGTAAATTCTGGGTTAAGTAGCTCAGGCAGGAGAGAATTGGATTCAAATTTGTTCCAGCGTACACTCCCCAACTTAAACAGCTTAGCCGTCAGCTGTTCGCTATACTAAATTTCAGCCCAAGCGGCTCGGCTCTTAAACACTACGCATCTTACTTTCGAGATAATTTTATGTGGGGCCACAGAGGAAAACGTAGATATCTTATTCAAAAAGATTTAACAGGACCTTTAAAGAAATTGTAACCCGAAGGATGCAGCAGTTGTAAGTCGAACACTACTCACCGAAGCAAGGTGGGCTCTCAGACGAAACACCTCAATTTTCATATTAGTGTATCTGACCAATTTTAATAATTTTATTTATTTATTTGCGATCGGGCTACACAGGCTCATAGATAAACACCATATAGTCTAACATATATACAGATATAAAACATTGCTGTCAGTAAATAAAAAATGGGTGCGTGTACTTATGTAGGCGCGTGAGAAGTTATCCTTCTTTGGCATCATTTAAAATTAGTTTTAAATTGCATGCAAATAATTAATTACAATAAATTAATAAAACGTCTGGAAAAGGACACAGTCAATAAAGTTCAGTTTTAATTTGAAAAAATAAATAAATAATCAAAATATTCAATTAAAATCGCTACTGAATATAATTTAGTAGAACATATGTGATTTGCACTTGTATGAAACTCAAACAAGTATTCCGAATATACAAACTAGAAACATGTGGATAAATATTATAAATATGAATACCTATAACTGTTACTTTATTACAAAAAATAAAGATGTGGTTTTTGGTTCTACTACACCAATGCTCAAGAGATGGCGCTGTAGTCTCCTGAATCGCGCTTTGGTTCCGTTGTTCCAGATTAATAAATACTTTTGATAGGCCTTCACAATGCAGTCGTTAGCACCCACTAAATAGAGATTCTATTTCTATTTTGTTCGTAGATTTTCTTAATGTGCGGTAAACACAAAAGTAACGCATGAAGTTGGTCGCTAAAGCGACCAACTTCCTGCTGTTAAAATTTTGTGTTACATCTTAAAATTTCACTCTCATCATTTTTTCATAACGCGCCTAAAGAAGTATAACTTCAAAAACAATAAATAAATATGTCAGTAATAAATATGTTAGGAAAAACCTCAACAACACGTATAGACGAGATTTCTATTTACCTCGTATCATGTATAGATACTGCTAAATCTCAAACGTAATCGTAAGAGTTCTCATACGTTCGGCAACACTGCCTGGCGCGGCCGCGCTCACGACAACACACGCCGTCGGAAAGCACCTTTAGAGGCCTCGGGTGACCTTCTTGCACCAGCGCGGGCGGCACTACTTAATAACGCTACTTGAGCACGCAACTCAACAATGGTGTTGTTCGAGTCCTCTAACTTGCTCACTACATCGGTCAGACTTACTTTCAGGAAGTTGATGTCCTTCAGCAGCCTTTTTTTATTTTTTTTATAGATAGGTCCGACAAATGACTCCACCCCACCTGATGTTAAGTGGAGGTGAAGTCCAGACGCGAAGATTCTACCTGCCACACCTCCACATGCCTCCGTCGTGATGGCATTTTGTCAGCCTTACCGATAGACCGGAACAACAGCACCTTGCCACTGCAAACTTCATCCTCCTTGATTTGTAGATCTGCAGGATACTGACCTCGTCCATAGTGTCAATTGCGTTTTGGATAAACGCCAAGAACTCGGTTAACTATGATTTGTTCGGAACTCATAGCTACAACGGCGAACAACGGCCATTACGACGCTTACGAGCAGGCATCAAGCGGGCGCCGTTATTTTATTAGGTTCCGCTAATACTAGGCGTTATCGGGCACGTGAAAATAAATAAATAAACTCAACGATTTTTAATACCTAATATTATGAACTACTTATCGTTTGTCAGAAAGTGAAATTGCTCCCAATATTCATGATATACAGGGTGAAATTGAATGTTTTAATGAAACTTTGTGAGATTGTTGGGTTACGTATATAGTGTCTCTGAATTTTTTCGGATTTTTTAAAAATGATTTAAAATAAAATTCCTTTTTTTTTGTTATATTTTAAGTCCTTTCCTCCTTTTTGGTACTAAATAATTATTCTTTTTAAACACGCATACAGAGTAAGTAAAAAACAACTAATAAGCACTACTAAAAAAAAAGTAAAAACAGAGGACGAGCGGCCGGGAGCAATGACCGCTCCCGCCCGTTGAATCGGTTGAATACCTACCTATGCGTTGAATACCTGCAAAGCGCAGTGAGCGAGCGCAGTGTCAAGTTTATAAACCGCGCGTGCGTATCTTTTAAATTTGTGACAATAAGTATTTCTTTTTGTTTAACATTTGCCTATTTCTAATCGTGACAAAATTATTATTAACTTTTAACATGACATTTGTGCTTATTATTTCAATAAAGGCATAAGACGACTTTATTGTATTGTGTGGAATCAAAGGAGTCAGCTGAACTCTGTGTAGAGGTACCTACTCACTCAACGGCTGGTGGGCGCGGTCGGTCGTTGACCCGCGGTGGAATTTTAATGTTTTTCCATTTTTTAGAAGTGCTTATTTATTAGTTATTTTTCACTGGATATGTAAGTTTGTTTGTTTAAAATGAATAACTACTCAAAAGGAGAAAAGGACATAAAAATACACAAATTATAAATAAATACATAAAATATATTTGAGATGTCAGTTTATAGGCAACTACCTGTGTTTTATTGCAAAAACAATATCAGGAAAAACAAACAAAAACGAGCGTTAAATAGAAACAATATTTATTTTAAATACAAGCTTGTCATTGATGGATTATACATTTTCATTTGAACACCTTGCCCTGGTTGAAGGGGCGGCCGGCCTTGTCCGTGCCGGTCCAGGAGAAGTAGTTTTTCACTAAAGTCTTCGTTTTCTCATCTTTTGGGTCGAGTTTGGTCCAGTCGTAGGATTCGTAGTCCACTTGCCAATCCGAGGACAGAGTGAAGGCCAGATCTTGGCCGCGCCAAACCCATACTCCGGATATTGTGGAGTCGTTATCCGAGCCGAACAGACAGACGGAAGCGAAAGCTTGTTTACGCATTTTATCCAACCGCTGGAACATACCTGGAGGACAAGCAGATTGAAGGTTTTATTTTATTATGTTATTCTATTAATGAAATGGAGTAATAAGTGCGATTTCTTGAATGAGGTGAATTGGGAAGTAAATGACCGCGAAACCTGTAAAGAATCAGAAATGATAAGGATATTGTTTTTGTTTTCATAAAATCACGCGCTTAAAACTACTTGTCCAAAAAACTATTCTACAGAAGCATATTTTAAAATATCAAACGATCATTATAATTTTAAAATAATTAGGGTACTAATTCTATTTTTGAAGTGAAAACTTCTTTAGCGGCGTTGTACTTTTTTTGTATGGGTAAAAAATGTTAAACTCGCGTCATGTTAAACACGTGGGCTGATCGCATCATGACACACAATAAAATTGGAAAGGTTGTTGACTTTCAATATATTGGACGAAACATAGTAATATTTTATTTTACCGTATTATAATAATAAGTCACTAACAAGGCCGTCCACGTGGCAGCTTTATTGCAAAGAAAATGTATTTTTTTACAATAGATGTCGCTAGGTGCGCTTAAATGTGATTCATGTAAGTTGATTTCTTTACTATAGATGTCGCTAAGTGCGATTAAACGTGATTCATGTAAGTTGATTTTTCTGAGAGATAAACTTTTTAATGCAATATAAATTGTCATGTTTGTGTACGATAGCGCAATAAATTAATATTGTATTCTAACCACATAAATGATAGTACTTTTATACTGATTATTAAACCACTTGACCGTAATTCGAAGCTTATTATGAGATAGGCACTTCCGTTTCCGTCGACTTTTGTCTCATTTGACCTACTCTTTTGGTTCACTTCCGGTGAACCTCCCGCCATCACCAGGGGTGGGGAGATGCGCTTACGTGTTGGCGCGCTCGCCATTTTGAATCATTGGCGTTTTGTTTTCCGTCGAGTGAACTTGTGCGCAGCGAACTTTATACTAAATATTAATATTTTCACTCTCAAGTGTCTGTATTAAAAATATAATAAGGTAAAATAACGTACGATTCGTTATTAATAATGACTGAGTAAGTACTCTTATATTTATAACGGTTTTACCGTTCGTTTTTAATGATTTCTTTGCAAAATCATTTTGTTTTTGTAGAAACTCATTGACCTACTAATTTTAATTGTGCGCTGAATATTATTATCTTTCCTTTTAAGTAACAATTAATAAAAACCTCTTATCTTTAATGGTTTTAAAGTTCGATTTTTATTTCAAATGGCGGTCATTCGTTTTTATAGTTCACGAAAATATTATGTTTTTAGTGTGGCTTATTTATTTTATAGAATTTGCTACATATATTATTTTATGAACAGAACAGTTGTATTAACCTTTTCCCATTTCAGTAATAACGTTGGAAATTTATCGGAACTTAAAAATGGAAATAAGGCTAATGGTGACTCCACTAGCTGCAGTGACTCCAGTACAAGTGATACTATAAGTTCCTGTTCTGAAGCAAGTATTCCAAAACGAAAACGTTGTAAGCGTCACCGGCATAAGAAAAATAAAAGTAACCGACTTTCTAATAGTGTACTTGAAAAATTAACCAAGGAGATGGGTGAGTTGAAAAAATTTATTACGCATTCTAATTCTGATGCGATGCATTACGAGGATAATGTTTCCGTAAGCTCTGGAGTTAGCGGGATGTTATATGATAACAATTGCAGCGATACTCATTATACGTTTTCTAATAATTATAATGAAGTGACATTAGGATTAGAGACTAAGCTTAAGGAATCATCCATTCCAAAAACACCGGATAATTTTTTAAAAATGCTTCTCGAAATTCAACACTTTAATGAAAAGTCTTGGTCAGAGGTTCGTTATGTTGATACTCAGAAATCATACATACACACCCCCGGGTTCACTGAACTAGAAGTAAATGATGAGATCAGCGCCTATGATACCTCCCGGCACTTAGCATATGCAGACAAGTCTTATGCTGCTTTAACCTTTTGTTTTTTAAAACAAAAGGAGATATTAGAAAATTCTCTCAGCAGTTTACTTACGTGGGCCAAAAATTCTGATTGTAATTTTTCTTCGCTTAATGATAAAATTAATGAATTGTTTTGTACCGGCGATTATTTGAAAATTTCTACCGATCTTTTACAAATGCTTTGTGGCCATAGAGCAGAAGCCATTGAAATGCGCAGAGATATGATAATAAAGAAGGTTCGAGATCCTTTGTTAAAAACTGCTTTAATTAAAATACCTCCATCGCCGGGGTATTTATTCGATCCGGAAAGTTTTACATCAATTTTGGAAAAAGCTGGAGGAGTGCGTAAAGTATTTTGGCCATTGATTAAGGATGGCAAAACTACAAACTCTTCGCTTAGAGCAGATAGATTTTCAAACCGACCCTCGCGGGGTTCGAGCCATTACAAATTGCCATCGCATGGTAATCAATCTCGCAATTACCGAGATCAAGCGCGTAATGCGATGATACATAATGACTTACCCTCGCAGGGTCAGTGTGGTCACCAATGCTCTTCGCGAGAGCAGCCTTATGACAATAATTCTATACCTAGAGCTAGTACCAGTGGTAGAGGGTCATTTCGCAACCATGGCTCACGGCCTGAACGTGGAATGTATAACTCACAGCGAGGGAATCGTAAGAGACATTATTCCCCGCCAAATCACAAAGGAAATCCTAAAAAGCGGAGACAATGACTTTCAACAGTTCTACGCCGGCCGGTTAGTACAGTATTACAATCAATGGACAAAAATGGGAGCACCGATTGCAATTCTGAAATTATTAAAAGGATACCGCATACCCTTTGCTCAAGTACCACCCTTAATCACTGTCAATGTTCACGAAACTCCACATCAAACCATACCTTCAAAAGAAATGTCTGCAATTATAGACAAATTGAAAACTCAAGGTGTACTGACTGCAGTAAAGCCATCCCCAAGTTTTGTCTCACCGATGTTTTTGGTCCCCAAAAGCGATGGGACTTCCAGACCCATCTTCAACTTGAAGAGGCTAAACCAATACGTGCTGACCGATCGTTTCCGTTTGATAAATATGCACAGAATACCAGACTTCCTGCAACCCAAGGACTGGTTATGCAAGGTAGACCTCTCCCAAGCATATTTTCATCTGCCTGTTGCCAAATCTCACAGAAGATTCTTGCGAGTAGTTTACGAGGGGGAACTACTCGAAATAACATGCTTACCTTTTGGTCTTTGCACAGCACCAAAGGTTTTTGCTACTCTCACGAATTGGATTGCGCAATACATGCGAGAAAGATCAGTAAGGATCCTGGTATATTTAGACGACCTTTTGATTGTAAATCAAAATGCGTCGATCTTGCAAAAACAGGTAAAAAATCTGATAGAGGTTCTGAAAGTTCTGGGATGGTGCATAAACACAGAAAAGTCGATATTAACTCCACAAAAAAGCATTACTTACCTCGGTGTGCTTTGGGATCCATGGACCAATCTGATGTCATTACCAACAGAGAAATCGGTCACCATCAGGGAAAAAAGCAACCAGTTACTACGAAAAGGATCGGCCAACCTAAAAGACTTGCAAAAAATAGTAGGTCTTTTCAATTTTGCCAGTTTTGTCATACCCCGGGGCAGACTCAATCATCGGCGAACTCTGAGATTTATGAATTCCTTCTCAAAGCATTCCACGAGGCATTGTCCTTTGCCGCCCGAGGTCAAAGTAGAACTAATATGGTGGATTCAGAATTGTTCTCAATACAGTGTGTTACACCATCCTCCTCCAGCACATTTTTTGACAACAGATGCGTCAGATCTTGCGTGGGGAGCACGTTTAAACAATCTTCTACTATCGGGTGCATGGACGGAGAAAGAACGAAAAATGCATTCAAATCAAAAAGAAATGTTAGCAATACTGAAGGTAGTTCAAATGCATGCTGGTTTAATCAAAGAAAGTATGGTGCTAATTCAATGCGACAATCGGACAGTCGTCTCATATTTACGCAAAGAGGGGGGCACGAAATCCCTTGCTTGTCTGGACATAACATACCAAATTTTACAACTTATGGATCAGCATCGAATTCAGTTTCGCATACACCATATTCCTGGGATCTTCAACGGTCACGCCGATCATCTGTCCCGACTTCAGAAATCTCCAGAGTGGCACCTGCTTCCCAGTTGCGTAGAAAAAGTGTTTGCGAAATGGGGAACTCCGGTAATAGACCTGTTCGCATCAAGACAGGCTCATGTTCTTTCAAACTACGGAACCCTGGATATAACAGACCAGAAAGCATTGGTACACGATGCGTTCAGCGTACGTTGGAATTATCTGTTGGCATGGATATTCCCGCCGCCATTTCTAGTTCCCAAAGTACTGGCTCATTTGAACCAAGCCTCGGGGATATACCTTATAGTGGTACCCAGGTGGACAAAGGTATTTTGGAGAGCAGACCTAAAAGCCCGAGCCCTAGCGCCACCGTTCACATTATACAATCTGAAGCAACAACTAATAGACGTGTCGACGGGCCTTCCACCAGCGAGAATAGAGGACATAACTCTGGAGGTTTGGAAATGTGGGGGTGGACAAAAGACTTAAAAGGATGGGATGACAAGCAGTTATCGCTCTTAAAGTCTTCTTGGCGTTCCTCCACACTCAAAACATACAAAGTTGCCTGGAATCGCTGGTTGTCTTGGTGTGAAACAAATAGAATCAGTGCTATAAAACCATCCGCCTCTGAACTAGCTAAGTTTCTGGCGGATTTGCATTTAAAGTATAAATTGTCATTTAATACTATTCAGTTACATAAGTCCGTCGTCTCAACACTTAGTGATACAAGCTCTTCAAATAATTTAAGTTCTCACGTATTTGTCAAGCACATAATGAAGTCAATAGCTCTGACTAACCCAAAAACTGACAAACCTCCTGTTTGGGATGTAAAAATGCTTTTAACCTTTTTGTCTACCTATTCTTTTGATTTTACTAATGTCTTTAAAGCTGTACGGCATGCAGCAATCATATTACTACTGTGTTCTGGTAGGCGTATCCATGACCTAACTTTGCTTAATATAGATTCGAAGCATTGTATCAGATCTGATAATTCAATAATTTTGTGGCCCGTATTTGGATCTAAAACAGATAGTCGTGATCAACGACAGTCTGGATGGAAACTTTTTTCAAATCCGTCTAATCTTAAACTTGACCCAGTGGTTTGGATTGATAATGTTATATCGTTATTAGACGAAAGACGTAAAAAGGCAGATTCCAATAGTTTGTTTATTACCTTACGAGGAGAGGCCAAGCCAGCTTCTCGTACGGTTATTGCGGGATGGATTCGGACGATACTTAAAGAGGCAAATATTCTAGCCACTCCAGGCAGTGTACGTTCAGCGGTTGCTTCTCGTAATTGGTTGGACAACTTTCCCTTAGAAGACATTCTGGCACGCGGTAATTGGAAGTCTGCAAATACATTCAAACGTTTCTACCGGCGTGAGGTCCTGACTGATGGCGATACGGAAAATTCAAGTTTATCGGTTGCTAATTTATTTAATCCAGTACAATGATCTGATTCACTAATTATATGATTCAAAGTTATGTTGATCGCTTTACTAATTATAATGATTATATTATGAAGTCTTGGTTTTAATTTCTCTAAATATTCCTTTTTATTCACATTGGCGTACACTCCATCACCAGGCGATAACAAACACGTCTCATAATAAGCTTCGAATTACGGTCAAGTGGTTTAATAGCAGCGTTTTACCTGAAATAAAACGCATATTAAACTACTTACCTAATTCGAAGCTTACTTTCCAGCACTGCCTGGTGAATTCGACACAATGATTCAAAATGGCGAGCGCGCCAACACGTAAGCGCATCTCCCCACCCCTGGTGATGGCGGGAGGTTCACCGGAAGTGAACCAAAAGAGTAGGTCAAATGAGACAAAAGTCGACGGAAACGGAAGTGCCTATCTCATAATAAGCTTCGAATTAGGTAAGTAGTTTAATATGCGTTTTATTTCAGGTAAAACGCTGCTATTAAAGCAATTCCCTAACCATTCCAAAATATTAAAAATGCACAACGTTAATATTCAAGTTTTCACTTCTGCCGGCACTCCCGGAGTGCAACCTGTCGTTTTTTTTTCGAGGATCATTTAAATCTGTGCCTTTTGGTTTAATGCTATATATGCTATATATATTTATATATCTTTCTCTTGAATCATTGAATCACTATCTAATGATGAAAACAAAACTAAAATCTGTTGCAAATTTGAAAAGATCAGCCTGCCTATTCACTAACTTTTTTGACATTTACAGGGTTCAACTAAAGAGAAAATTGCATATCCATCAATGCTTTCAGGACAAGTATCTTAGTGGCGTTATGAACAGGTAACGGATCACTAAATGGCTCGGTGATTATCACCTCTATCTGTCAAAAACAGTTAGCGAATAGATCTTCTGAGTGTACAGACAGCAGCAGCGACTTTTTATACAGATTAGAATCATCGGTGCATTATTATTAATTTTAAACAACTTGATTTAAAAATCAACAGACATTATTTTAAAAGTAAAATTTTAATTAGATTCATAAAGTACTACGATTAGTATGAATACTTGAAACGTACCAGTGATAAGGTTACAGCTCATGAAAACTTTAGCGAGTTCTTCGGGGTATTTGTACTCAGCATACCAGATGGAGTAGTGCTCGGGGTCGAATTTCTCCCAGAAGTAAGGTATCGACTTCGCTTCCTCCTCGTTTGAATAGAAACGTTTGAAGTCGTCCATGTTGAATGTGCTGGGAATAAAATTGTATTTAAGTATACTCAGATAAGTATTGCGATATGCTATTTGTTAGAAATAATTATTTGTAATTCATTGCCATTCAACAACTACTCTTGTGATCTCTTATTATGATAAGCTTCTGTGAGGTTTTCGTAAATTTAAATTTGTTATTAGCACCCACCAATCTGCACTGGGCATGGTGGGTCACGACCGAATCTACCTATTCTATCCAGAAGGCCTGTGCCCCATTAGCAATGATATTTAGAAATTAGTCTTACTTGCTAACATTTCATGTTATTAGGGTAATGAAAGACAAGGAAAGCTTATTATTACTTATCATTAAGAATAATATTATTATTGTCGCTACTAACTCTTTTATCGAATATTAGAACATACATATAATACCAAATTTAAAGAAAATTTTACTGGAAAAATTCCACGCGGGCCAGACAGCAGACGGGACTCGAACCCGCACCCTCCGCTATCCGGGCGGAGGAACTAACCATTATGCCACCGTGGCCCTAATTGTCCGTGTCGAATTTCCTCTAGTATTTCTTAAGCTGAAAGGCAGCGCCATCTCTTTGCATTGTAGGTAACCCACATTGTGAACTTTACAAGTATTATAGCAATTATAGTTATATTTTTATTTTACGTATATAAATTTTGTTTAGATTTAAACAGTTTTAGAGTTAAATGCTTAAAAAATATAACTTAACTCGGCGTTAAAAAATTGCACCTCCGCGAAAATAACTTTCAAGCGTTATTTTAAAGTCATATTTGTGGTATCAAGCTTTTTTTAATAAAATGAAATGGTTTTTTTTTTAAGTTTATTTAATGGGATTTAAAATGAAATTTTTTGACGTCGAGTGTATAAGTTTACGATTATTGTAAGTACTATTCATCTAATAGTAATATATGAGTTACCCTTTAGGCATGAGGTCGAAGGGGTCCTTCCCTTCCTTGGGTTTCTCTTCGAACTCCTCCTCGGGTGCTGGTTGAGGGGCCTCTTTTTTGGCCTCTTGCTTCTTTTCTGCCTTCTTCTCCTTCTTGCCACCTTCCTGGAATAAGATGACTATGAGATGTGGTGGTAATATCAAACAAAATTCTGTATTGTACCATTTATTGTGGTTCGAAAATGTTAAAAAAATACTGGACTTCAGGTACATCCAAATATAAGAAAATCTATAGAAATACTAGCTAACTCCTGCAAATTTCGTACTGCTCCTATAAAAAAAAGAGTTGGTGGTACTAATGTTTATATGTGAATAAAAATTGTATAGCCTACTAGTTATATTAATAAAAAAAGATATTCAGCCAAATATCATAAAAAGACAGTTAGAGTATGTGCAGAAAGAGAATGGGATTTAGATTGAATGTGCTGTAGTGTTTTTTTACCGTATTTGTAAGGTTTTACACCTTTTAGACATGATAAAATACAAAAAACCGCAAGAAATCACAACAACAAATCCGTTTCAATACAAAACTTTGACGTTTTACAGATTACTGTGTTTGATTGCCAAATAAAAATCTTAATGTTAGTTCCGTTTTTCGCCACGCCCATTCTCTTTCCGCACAGACTCTGTCTTTTTTATGATATTTGGCTGAATATCTTTTTTTATTAATATAACTAGTAGGCTATACAATTTTTATTCACATATAAACATTAGTACCACCAACTCTTTTTTTTATAGGTCAATCGAGATCGAATCGATAAATCGAGAAATTGAGAAAATGTGTTTGTAATATCATTGTTACGTTAAATTTATTGACACTAACAATATAATATTCTGTAAATATTTTCACATAATTTAACACTGCGAAGTTCTCTCGCTTGAACTCCACAGCTAAAAATGCCCCTAACAGGTGGCACAGGAAAAAAATTGGACAATTCAAAACAGTTGTTAATTTGAATAAAGAAACTTCGACTTTATAAGAAACTAGTCGACCCAGCATACTTCGCACTGCTAACAATAATTTGGAAGAAATAATAAATAAGATCTAGATCTAGATAGAACAGTTTATATGGACAAATGAAATCGTATTTTTACTATCTTCCTCGCATTTTTTCCATATTTTCTTACCTTTTAAACCATCCCTAGACCTCCACGAACAGTTCAAGACCAAGATAAGATAAATCCGTTCAGCCGTTCTCGAGTTTCAGCGAGACTAACGAGCAGCAATCGATTTCTATATACATATTTCTATATATATAAAACTCAAAGGCGACCGACCGACATGGTGATCTATCAACGCACAGCCCAAACCATCGGACGGATCGGGCTGAAATTTGGCATGCAGTTATGACGTAGATGTTATGACGTAGGCATCCGCTAAGAAAGGATTTTGATCAATTCTACCCCCAAGGGCATAAAATACCGAAGCGAAGCGAGGGTGGGCCGCCAGTAGAAGATAACATAGCACCTTTACGTGTGTAATGACACGTTTCGGTAGAAGCTCCTCACCTTCTTGCTGATCTCCTGGAACTTCTTGGGGTCGAGGACGGGCGCGGCGGCGCACAGAGTGAGGGGCGGTGTGACGGCGCGCACCTGCGGCTGGTTGGCGAGGGTCAGGAACCAGCGCGTCACGTTAACCAGCCCGCTGCGGATGCTGGGCTCCACCACGTACTGTACGAAACATAATAACGATACTTATTAATGCACAGGAAGAAACTTATCACCTATCGAGTTATTTGCATCGATTAAATACTTGAGGAGCTCGATGGCGCAAGTAGTTAGCGCGTTCGGCTGCGATCGTTGAACTTTAGCAACTTTAGCAGTAGTCGGTCATTGGATGGGTGACCAAAAATTACTATCTCGAGCTCCTCCGTGCTTCGGAAGGCACGTTAAGCCGTTGGACCCGGCTGCATCTGCAGTCGTTAGCACCCACCAATACGCACTGGGCCCGCGTGGTGGGTCATGGCCCAATCTCCCTGTGCCCCAGCAGTGGGAACATTAATAGGCTGATGATACTGATGAAATACTTGTTACATCAAAATCATTATTTAACTGCAAACAAAACCTGTGCTAAAAATAAATCAAAAATATACATATAATCTGTAGTACAATTTTTGCTAAATACGAAATATTAAGGAAACACTGTGCGGTGAGTGTGGTCTTGTGCGTTTAAAGCTGCAAATAGACGGTGCTTTTTGCATTGGTTTTTTATCGATGAAGCATCGATAATGAATATCAATACTACATCAATAAAAAGCCAATAATGAAATGTCAAAATTAACTTCAATCAGAATGTGCCTTCGCGATGAAAATTTCGGGGTCCGATTGTTATTCACTAGCATCGATGGTGCATCTATCATCATTTATCGGCAATGAACAACAAGTGAAACATCTAAACAGTGGCAGCTCGTTCATTTCTTTAACTGTCACAGTATTTATTCTTTAATTAAATAACTCGTCACAGATGATGTTCACGCGAGATTTTCACAAGGAATGGAATATTAGCTTTCATCAAAAATTATGTATTTAAACAAACTATGCATTTCACAGTTCATCATTCACAAATCATCACAAAAAAATATCCCTTTTGATGAATCGTCTAACTTAGCCTTAAAGAAAGAACTGTTGGGTGAACAGAGAACTGTCAAGCATGAACTGGCATACAATATCGAACTCCATCCCCACGCGTATGGGCGAGCAGTATACGATGATGTCAGTAAATTATGTAGGGTGTGGTGTATATTAATGTTCCAAGCAGCAGACGGGACTCGAACCAGCAACCTCCGCTATCCGGGCCAATGGACTGACCATTATGCTACCGCGGCCCCGACGGCCGGGTCGAATCCTATCTAGCCTTTCTTAAGCTGTACGGCAGCGTCATCTCTTCGCATTGTAGGTAACCGTAACCCATGTCATATGAATACCTTTAAAAGTATTAAACATTTGAAAGAAGAAATAGCAATTATACACAGTCAGGTCATAAGTATTGTCACACATTAAAATTTTTTTTTTTAGAATTTTTTTACTCATTTTTAAATATGGAGTGGACGCTTAAAGAAGACCGTGTTTGCAGTTATTGCGTTGCATCGTTGCGGTTACGCGCCAATTCAAATTTTTGACATACTGAAAAACTTGAATATAACCAAAAGATTCGTTTACCGTACCATCAAACGATACAATGAAGACTCTAGTGCAGATGACAGGTCGAGAAGTGGTCGCCCTCGGTCTATTAGGACTCAGTGATAAAAGCTGTAAAGGCGCGAATTCATAGAAATCCCAAACGTAAGCAGAAACTGTTTGCCCTTCAGATGGGGTTAAGTAGAACCATGGTGAAAAGGGTGTTAAATGAAGACTTAGAGCTTCGGGCATATCGAAGAAAAACAGGACATCGTTTAAATGCTCGTCTAATGGCCCTGAGCCCTGAGTCCGTTAGATTACAAGATATGGCAACACTTGGAGGAAAAGGCGTGCTCAAAGCCTCATCCCAATTTGGAGTCACTCAAGACATCCTTGATTAAGGCAGCCGCCGATATCGACATGGACCTCGTTCGTGGTGCGATAGACGGCTGGCCGCGCAGATTGAAGGCCTGTATTCAAATCACGGAGGTCATTTTGAATAAACTTTATTGTCATAAGAATCTATGTTTTGTTAAGTTCATTTTGGTATATAAATGGTTACATAATGAATAAACTTGTTTCAATTATTTTATATTAAACATGTGACAGAATTTATGACCTGACTAGGTATATACACACCTGGTACGCGTGTATGAGCGAGCAGTACACGATGACGTCAGCCAGCGTGGGCCTCTCGCCGGCCAGGAAGGTGCGCGGCAGCAGGTGAGAGTCCAGCACCTTCAGCGCTGCCAGGAGGTCGGACTGTATATATATATATATATATACACACCTGGTACGCGTGTATGAGCGAGCAGTACACGATGACGTCAGCCAGCGTGGGCCTCTCGCCGGCCAGGAAGGTGCGCGGCAGCAGGTGAGAGTCCAGCACCTTCAGCGCTGCCAGGAGGTCGGACTGTATATATATATATATATATACACACCTGGTACGCGTGTATCTCGTCAGCCAGCGTGGGCCTCTCGCCGGCCCAGGAAGGTGCGCGGCAGCAGGTGAGAGTCCAGCACCTTCAGCGCTGCCAGGAGGTCGGACTGTATATATATATATATATATACACACCTGGTACGCGTGTATGAGCGAGCAGTACACGATGACGTCAGCCAGCGTGGGCCTCTCGCCGGCCAGGAAGGTGCGCGGCAGCAGGTGAGAGTCCAGCACCTTCAGCGCTGCCAGGAGGTCGGACTGTATTAATATATATATATATACACACCTGGTACGCGTGTATGAGCGAGCAGTACACGATGACGTCAGCCAGCGTGGGCCTCTCGCCGGCCAGGAAGGTGCGCGGCAGCAGGTGAGAGTCCAGCACCTTCAGCGCTGCCAGGAGGTCGGACTGTATATATATATATATATATACACACCTGGTACGCGTGTATGAGCGAGCAGTACACGATGACGTCAGCCAGCGTGGGCCTCTCGCCGGCCAGGAAGGTGCGCGGCAGCAGGTGAGAGTCCAGCACCTTCAGCGCTGCCAGGAGGTCGGACTTCGCGCGCTCCACGTTCTATAAGTCCAAAGGAAATAAACTGCTCATTATAACATTGAAAATGTTGGCACGTTAGTATAATACATTGTTTTATACAACAAAATATTATTGATGTGTAACATCATTCCACTCGCTTTCCTGCAATTTGTACGAGTGATTTCATGAAATGGGACGGAAGTATGTAACAGGAAGTCGCGAAAGCGCGGGCTATTTGATTTGAATTTAGAACATAATGTGCAAATGGCTTATTCCTTTTGTAGTAGGCTTTTTTATTTTTCACTAATATAAGGCTCACCTCAGTTTCAAATGTTACACATCATACGCGACTACTGTAAGGCTCGCTCGTTTTTTTAATAGGTACTAATAGGTTGATAATAACTGTCTACAATGTTACATTTTAAGATAAAATGCTTTTTTCCCCATCTTAAAAATACCAACATGTCTTAAGAACGAACGCAAGCTGAGACATTCCCAAGCCCACCCTTGCAATGGTGTCCTTAAAATTGGGTAGTGTGAATGCCGTTAAAGGCAGACTGGTCGCTATTCGCCTATCGTGGCATCGGTGACATTGACGCAGGCGTAAGAACCATTCAGGAGTGTACATGAGCAGACAGCCGCCATTTGTGCTCATCTTTCGTGAACGGTTCTGTAAACAATATAGTAATAACAAAATTCATTCTTAATGTTCATTAACCTGATAAGTTGAACGCACCTGTTTGTTGAACTGCATGATGCCCAGGTATGGGAACACCCAGGCGCAGGAGGCGGGCAGCAGCTCGCTGTCGGCCCACGACGCCCACTGCCACACGCGGGCTGCGGTCTCCGCGTCTCCGCCTCGGAGCTTAGCGTCCGACACTGGATATATTATGCCAACACACTTGTCAGACCGATCGTGCACAAGGAACAATCATTAAATAAACCAAGCCTGACAGAAACAAAATATATCTGACTTTTAATATCATTAAATGAAAAAAATATTGTTTTTTTTTTGTTATAGCTAGGTAGGCAAACAAATACCCCACCTGATGTTAAGTGGTGATAAAGTCCAAACGCGAAGATAGCTGTTACAGCAGTTATAAACTGCTACACCAACCATCCTCACCTTGCCGGCCTGCAAAAAGGCTTCTTCACGCCTCTCTTAAAGGACCCCCGAATTATAGGAAGGAGGGACACGAGCGCGGGTAAAGAATTCCACTTACGAATAGTACGACAAAGAAATGAGTCAAATTTCTTTGTTCGTGTAGGAATAGTGGCCACAGTAAGTCGGTGACAACGAAGGCCAGCGCGCGTGGTCCTCTGAAGAAAAGGTGATGGAGGGATAAGGGAGAATAACTCCTCAGAACACTCGCCGTGCTACAGTCGGTAGAATGCGCTTAATGATGCCACATCGCGGCGTAATTGTAGAGACTCGAGTATCTTAGTTACCTCTTCATCGCCAATGATGCGGGCAGCGCGCCGCTGCAACCTATACAAGGCATCGAGTAAGCACTTAGCGGAGCCATCCCAGAGGTGCGAGCAATATACCACGAAGGACCGCACTTGCGTTTTGTACAACAAGCGCAGTTGATCGGGGGTGAAAAAACGCGGCACTTTGTTCAGGCCTCCGAGTTTGCGTGAAGCTGTTTTGATCAAGGTTTCGATGCAGTCCTTTGGATTCAGGTCTGAGAGAACTTCCATACCGAGTATGGTAATGTTGCTCTGTAGCGCCAGTGTTGTGCCCTGAAGATAGGGAAGGGGAAGGAATGGCGATGTTTTTGCCGTGAAAGCGCCAAACCTGAGTTTTCTGGGCATTGAACTCAACAAGTTTCTGGTACCCCATTCGGAAATGTGGTCCAAAGTCCTTGGTTTCTACCTGTCCAGACGCTGCGTGTCCAAAGTATCTCGCATGCAATGTACTATCGTCTGCACAGCAATGGGTATTCGCAAGTTGAATCAAATCATTGATATGCAGCAAAAAGAATGTGTGGGATAGAACGGAGCCCTGAGGAACACCGACATTCACTGACATGAACCACGAACTACATCCGTCCGTAAGATCGCGAATTCTACGCTCATGCAGGAAGTAGCTGACTTCCTGCATGAGCGTAGAATTCGCGTCACCCAGGCGTAGAGCTGAGCAGGCAGACCGTATGCAAGAGGCTTGGAGAGAGGCCAGGGTCTGGCACAAGTCCTTGTGGTGGGCGTTAAGGGCCCCCAAAAACACCAGTTCTGCGTTAGGAAATTGCGCCTGGGCATCATCTGCTGCCCTACTAAGGTGGTCAAACAGTCGAGTTGTGTCAGCGTCACCGGTGTGGGATCTGTAGAGGCTCGAGTAGACTCTGGCCAAAGGACCAGAGTCTACATGTACCGCCAACATGGAAAAGGAGGGGTCTTCCAGGCAACTCAAACGGCGACAACAAACATCCGCCCGAACATACAGGCATACGCCGGCTTTTGCTTTGAAGGATTCTTCAAGCGCATAGCCGGGATATTTAAGGTAGCCTGTGTCAGCGGGCGGAAGTATTTGTCTCCGTGAGAAACAATAATGCTGACTGCGCTGTCTCAAGACGGTGGTGAACAGCATTGAGGTTAGAGTGGAGTCCGCGTATATTACAGAACTCGACCTCAAACAACGCTGAAGGAGTGGGGGTGTGCACCGCTGTACAACCAAACTTTATTTTACGGGATGCAATCATGAGAAAAAAGTTGAGATACGTGAATCCAGCGGAGTAAGTCGCGACAAAGTCAGGCAATTATGTGGAGCCACGTTTTTCCGAGTAACTGCCTAAGAAAGAGATACGCCGACCCACCAGAAGGAAGGTAAAAAAGTTATTTTTCAAAATTTTATTACACCATTTTGTTGGCATGATTGATATACATATCTAAATAAAATTATAGGCTCTCTAGTGATAATAGTCTCCAAGCAAAACCAGGCATGGACAGACAGACATGACGAAACTATAAGTGTTCTTTTCAAGATTACAGAACCCTAAAAAAGGGCAATTTCACTAATTTAGCCGCAAATTCAGATGATTCCACCTATACAATATTTAATACAATGATACTAAAACTCCTGAGACACATTTCGTTTCCGTCGGGCTTGGGTATTTTATTTTTTATGGAAAATTAGCATTCTCCTTTTATAATCTTTACTACAAAATAGCACAAATAAATTGAGTTCTTGTAGTTTATTTAATATTCTACTGTGCCAGGTACCATGCTAAATTCAGGCCAGCACCAGTAAGATACCAAAAAATTGGAAGAAGTGAGAATAATTTAATTAAGCACAAGTTAATTTAAAGTTACTTTGGTACAACATGTTAGTAAGCATATTTATGCTGCCAGTGGAGGAGCTGAGTCTGCTCCGATAGCTTAGTTTTAATTTATAATGACCTACCCTATCATTAGACTTTTAAACATGAAGATTTATTATTCAAACAAATTACAATGTCATTTAATTTTTTCTTTGGCACATTAAAATACTGTACAAATGAACTTTAATCTCATACAAAGGTTATAATTTAGCTATGGACAGTCATTTGGCCACTATCAGGAGGGGGAGGGTGGGTATTTTTTTTATGGTAAAGGTAATAAAATCTAAAAGTACTATAATTATAAATTATTTTTACTATAATTTATATTGCATCATTTAAATGTGTAAAATGAAAAACAACAGATTCTATGTAAATTATTTTCACGAAATAAAAGAAAGCCCATATGGATGACAGGTCAACTCTAAAATAATGAAAAATTGCAATTTATTTCAAAATAAAGTCTAAAATCTCACGTGGCGAACATTGAAACTGCACTGCCATAGAGTTAGGGTCAGCTAACTCAATGGCCATAATCTAAATTTTAGCCCAGTTTTTCAATAACATATTCACTTTGAGTTTGTGAGACCTGTGTTATGTTATTCATGTATTAATCAAAGCATGTAACTACAAATAATTGCAAAATTATTCAAAGTCGACTCGTTTCCTGGTTTAGTCAAGTTGCAAGGAAATGTGCTCTTCTCAATAAATTAAAGAAAGCTAATCACACTGAACGTGCTGTACAGATTAAAACAATTTAAAACGAACACCAATTTATGTCACTGAAAGGTTATTTTATAGGAAGCTACTCTACAAACTTTGGAGAACAAGCATAAGAATAATTTATGGCCTATGGAGTTCTATTTATAGTTACCACAGATACAGAAGCGTACTTAATTTCAAGTACATACTTAATTATAATTTACCGGCTTTCAACACATGCAGAGGTTAGAAATTTTGAAATCGAACAGCTGATCTTTCCAACTCACCATAGTATGCGATGGCGTTACTTTCTGTCAACAAAACCTTTCCGTCAGCACTTTCATAGGCAGGCACCTACAATAATTCCAAATTTAACACGTCACCTTCACAATCTTGCGTTTAAATGAACACCATATTGTTACTAAATAATTCACACTTTCGTAACACATTGAACTCACTTTTCCGGCCGGGAACTTCTTCAGAAATCCTTCTGATTTATTAGTTTCTCCGAATACGAAATTGGGAGCGACTTTTAAATCGGCTCCAGAGTACTGTGCGGCGATCAACGCCTTGTAAGCGCGGAAATTCTCCGGATAAGTGTAGAGTACCTATAAAAATAATCTCACTTATAAGCATTGTCGTTCAAACTGCTGATAACCTCTTATATGTTGAGGATAAAATTTTGAAGATGCACTAGATTTATTGAAATTTCTTGAACCTACCCCTGCCGCCATCGTTGGTTTTTCAAAGAGAAGAGGAAGGGAGAGAGATTGAAGGGGAGAGGGGGACAGGGGGAATATGAGGGTGGAGAGGTGGGGAGGGTATATGACAGCCAATGGCAGCATACTTTTTATTTATAACATTCTTCCTTTTTTTTAGAAAGGCAAAGAATCCTTAGTTCGTATAGCCTAGATTTTTGCATTTTTTTCATAATTTATACCATAGATATAAGATGTCTATGTATATCTCTAAGCTTGTAATCTTTAAGCTCCAACGCATATATATATTTTTTTTGTTCTGTGGCCGTTACCGTTTTACACAAAAATTATATATAAATGCGATTCAACTAAGAATAAGACCGACTGGGCGCCATATTTTGACGTAATGGCTGTCAATTCAAACCAAATAGGTAGAATGAGTAAAAAAAGATTTTATTTAAAAAAAAATAACTAATATACTATAGATTAGTGAAGAAAAACATCAGATTTATTTAATAAAATTTATTTACTATGACTAAGAAAAAAACAACCGATTTTTAATAACATTTATTTATTAAGACTGTGTGAGAAAAACCTACCGAGTAAGTGCGAGTTAGACTCGCGCACCGAGGGTTCCGTACAAACTCAATTTAATACCTCTACGCGTTCATGAGAAAGGAGGTAGTAACTTTAAAATTTTCAAAAATATTTTTAATGATATGATGTACCCTGTAGGTTTGATTCGTGTGTGTTTCGAAAATTTAGGGAAATTTGCGGCATAAACGGCTGTATCTTTTAATTGCTTTGGCTTATTAGTTTGATTTTTTCACAGCTCCAAGGAACAGTAGACTTGTGTAATAGATATGAATTTCAGTTTGATACCTTCACGCTTTTCAATAAAAATGGTCTTGACAGACGGACGGACAGCAAAGTGATCCTGTAAGGGTTTCGTTTTTTTTCCTTTTTAGGTACGGAACACTAAAATCAGAATCTAGCTCTTCAATACCGCTCTTCAATAGCCTAATGAGAATCTAGCTCTTCAATACCGCTCATCTCTGCATTACCGCCGGAGTAGTTATGAATAATCATGCACTATTACTAGGTCCAGTGGCGGGGCAAGACCTAAATTTGATGTGGGTAAGACAGATTTCGCGAGGCCCTGTTCTGTGGCGACCTGAAGACGGATTTTATAAAATAATAAAAATGAAATTCGCTTTTAAGCTATGCATATAAAAATTCCAGGCGCTAGGCCCCTTGTACCGCGAGGCCGTAGGCGGTGGCCCACGTCGCCCACGCCTTACGCCGCCTCTGACTAGGTCACATACGAACATGCATCCTTTATGTAAACGAAAGTTTTAAATAGTTTCTGAACGCAACTTAAAGTGACATTTGGTTGACGATTTAGGTTATCAATCATTCATAGTCAAAGCTATTCCACGATTGAATGGTATAGTATCATCTCCATTGGTATCTGCTCTAAGATATCTCTCGTCCACTATGCGTCCAGGGGCCCAATTCTCGCGGCATAGATATTATATCGGCTTCGAGATAATATCGAAAGGAGGGATATCTATTGAAAATATCTACTGATGGTAAAAAATGCTATTCTCGTGGATTTTCGATATTCCAATGATATTAAATCTATCGTAGATATTCTTTCTCTGACGAATGCGTTCCGTTTTTCTCGATTAAGTTAACATCATAGTCTATATAAAATAATAATAAATTAGAGCAGAATTTTACAAGCAACAAAATGATATTTTATGAATTCCATTCATATTAAATATGAGTATACATTTTTTGAGTATAAGAAATCTCAACTTTACCTAAATTGTATGCGTATATAACTTCAACGTTATGTATAATGAAACGTCAATATTATTTAAGATTCTCCCTTTTCAGGGAAGGCAAAGGGAACAATGCCCATAAAGCCTAGTCTTTAGTTATATTAATCTTCTTTTTTTTAGATTCAAATGTCGGTGTGACGCATTCTAATGTTTCTTGGAGTGTTTGGCACGAAATTTATGGAGTTGGCTTTTTCTCTAAGCTTCTGTGAGGTAGTCAACACGACAATACAGTTCTCGCGTCCACTTGACCGAAATAGCGTATATTTTAAAGATTCCACTAATTCTTCAGTTGCGCAGACGGTTGTAACACCAAATCACACCAATTTCATTTCACAATATCCACTATGAACGAATTTTAGAATAATTAAAGAAAGAAATCCCGCCAAAACTCCGTATCGTCAATAAGAAAATGGTGTCGATTCTGGCATGATTCTCTAAACCTAAACGTAAATTTGACAACAGTGGTGTCGATTCTAGCATGATTCTCTAAATCTAAACTTAAATTTGACAGCAGTATATCCTTGTCATTCTCTATACAGAATGAAAAGGAGAGACTGATGTCAAATTTAGTTTTAAGTTTAGAGAATCACGCCAGAATTGGCACCAGTGTATCCTTGTCATTCTCCATACAGAATGAAAAGGAGAGACTGAAGTTAAATTTAGTTTTAAGTTTAGAGACTCGTGTCAGAATCGATACCAATGTCATTCATAACTTTAAAGATTTCTAACCAAATTTTTGTTTAAACGTAATTTTTTTATGAAGTCGGCGTCCCTCATTTCAAATGGGCCCTCTTGCTCTCACGACGGCGGCGCCTTAGCACAGCAGCAGCAATCACGTCATTTATTAAATCATTGACGAAAACATGAATCAACTGATCCATCGTTAATATAAACTGGTGTTGATTCTGGCACGATTCTCTAAATCTAAACTTAAACTTGACAACAGTGGTGCCGATTCTGGCACGATTCTCTAAACCTAATCTTAAATTTGACAACAGCGTATCCTTGCCATTCTCTATACGGAATGAAAAGGAAAGATTAATGTTAAATTTAGTTTTAAGTTTAGAGAATTACGCTAGAATCGACACCAGTGTTTCCTTGTCATTCTCTATACAGAATGAAAAAGAGAGACTGATGTTAAATTTAGTTTTCAGTTTAGCGAATCACGCCAGAATCGACACCATTGTTTACCTACTTCTTTATTTACTAATTATTTATGAAGGCAGTTAACAACATCTTGAGGTAACAATAATTGGCAAAGACACACGACAACACAAAAAATAATAGGTAAAAAAAGTGGAAATAACAAGATTGACACGCCAAGATCCATAGATATTTATATATCGAAGGCTCTTTACCAGTCGATGTATGTCTACTGATCATCCGTAGATAAATATCTATTGCGACATGGTGAGAATAGGGCAAAAAGGTTTTCCTTCGATAAAAACCAGATCATTCGATATATATCGAAGGTGATATAATATCTATGCCGCGAGAATTGGGCCCCAGGGTCTAGGCGGCCTATTCATTAACTTTTTTGACATTAGTAATGTGTAAAGCTAAAGAGAAAATAGTAATAATAATAAAATACTTTATTGCAATTATGAGCATTACAATTTGTATACCTACATAAACACAATACTACTACGGGAGTACTTATAGAACACAATCTTGCTTTCGCTCGCTACCGCAATACTGCTACAACAACACACGGCCCAACAAAAGTAACCAGAGTAAGACGCAGGAAAGCGAGTACTAAGTAGCCCGTTATACGGGTCAAAACAGCATTGCGGCTCAGAGTGAAAGATACAAGGACCACTGAAACTTCGAACTTACATATTTTAAAAAATCAATAAGTAATTACCTATGTTCTTATAACTAGATTTTTATCGATAGTATACAATGTACTAGTACCTAAACTAGGTCGAGCCTGTAATATAGGCACTAGTTCCTTCCTAATAACTTAAGTTAGAATACATACATTACTTATAGAAAGCGTGAGTAGCTTTGGTTTGTATAAGAATTAACTTTTTTTTTTATTTATTTAATTCTATGTTTATCAGGAGATACTGTATTTACTTGTATAAATATAGGTAATAATTAATGATGCAATTAATTCAAGTGATAAAAAATAATTTTTGAAGTTATAGTACTTCTTTAGGCGCGTTATGAAAAAATGATGAGAGTGAAATTTTAAGATGCGCGCGCATCACTGTAACACAAAATATTAACAGCATGAAGTTGGTCGCTGTTACTTTTGTGTTTACCGCACATTAAGAAAATCTACCAACAAAATAGAAATAGAATCTCTATTTAGTGGGTGCTAACGACTGCATTGTGAAGGCCTATCAAAAGTATTTATTAATGTGGAACAACGGAACCAAAGCGCGATTCAGGAGACTACAGCGCCATCTCTTGACCATTGGTGTAGTAGAACCAAAAACCACATCTTTATTTTTTGTAATAAAGTAACAGTTATAGGTGTTCATATTTATAATATCAAAAGTATTTATTAATCTGGAACAACGAAACCAAAGCGCGATTCAGGAGACTACAACGCCATCTCTTGACCATTGGTGTAGTAGAACCAAAAACCACATCTTTATTTTTTGTAATAAAGTAACAGTTATAGGTATTCATATTTATAATATTTATCCACATGTTTCTAGTTTGTATATTCGGAATACATGTTTGAGTTTCATACAAGTGCAAATCACATATGTTCCAATAAATTATATTCAGTAGCGATTTTAATTGAATATTTTGATTATTTATTTATTTTTTCAAATTAAAACTGAACTTTATTGACTGTGTCCTTTTCCAGACTTTTTATTAATTTATTGTAATTAATTATTTGCATGCAATTAAAAACTAATTTTAAACGATGCCAAAGAAGGATAACTTCTCACGCGCCTACATAAGTACACGCACCCATTTTTTTTTTCAATAATATCCCAAGCTATAAATAACAATAATTATATATTTACTAAACTATCACACTAAAATATATTATTTCAATGTGATACGTAATAGCTTGTTAGTGCCCGCGAAAAAAACATTATACTGTGTGTATCTCTCTCGATCGGGATTGCGTGGGAGTTGTAGTTTGTGTATGTATGTGAGAGTGGGTGCGGGTGGGTATGTTATTGTGTTAGTATTATATTTGGTTGAAACTTATTATCAGGGAAGGGAGAATTTCATTTAGGTATTTTGAAGAGATTTTCAATTTCATCGTATGATTGAGATTTTAGAAAATTACTCATTTTTTGTTTACAAACGTGATGGTTAAGAGAATATATGTTAATAATT